CACACACACACAGCTGTGGAGGTGGGGGAGGAGGTGGCGGGGTTGTCAGTAGTAGGGGCCCATTGTGCGAGCCGCCAGCGTGGGGCTGTATGAGCTGTGATGGAGGGCTCTGGACCCTTGCTGTTGTCTTGCCTTTCTCTCCTGATTTCATGCCTCTTTTATCATTCACTTTCACACAAAACAAACAACACCGAGGATGTCTGCTATGGGAACTAGGGTCCCTCTCTCTGAATCTTTCTAATCACCTTCTCCTCCATTTTCTACTGTGGTTCTTGTTGCTCTTTTTCCCTCTTTAATCCTACTTTTACACTGATATGCCCAACTTTTCTTTTGACTTTTTTTATTTTCCGCTTTTACCTTCTTCTTTTTTTTTTTCCCCCGGCTCAGCCGTTCTCGCCTTTTTCTTGTTCTCTTTTCACCTTCTTCCTGCTCTTTAGATGACTTTCCAACAAATTGCTGTACTTGTTCCCAGTCAACATCCTGCGACTACATCCTGCGTGGCATCGACAATGGCAATGAATGGTCGGCTAATAGTGTATTTTTCCCACGTGCACAGATTCAGATTCAATTTCTTTTTCTCTGTGTGTAACAGGTGTTTGTGGCCTCATAGTCCCGCAGGAGGACATGCCGTTCTGCGACACGGGCATCTGTCCCGACATTATCATGAACCCTCACGGATATCCCTCCAGAATGACGGTACATATTTTTTGGGCTTGAAACTAACAATCATTTTGATTTTTTTTTTAATTGTCTCAATCAAATTGATTTTTAGGGCTGCTACTAAAGATTATTGATTCTGTTGTATTTATGCACAGTCCCAGGTGACGTCTGCAGAAGTATTTTTTTTGTCTGACAGAAAATCAAAATTGAATTCACTTTCATGACAAAAAAAGCAGCATTTCAGCTGCTGGAACCAGTTAATGTTCTGTATTACTGTTTAAAAAACGACTGAAATGAATAATTCGATTGTAGATTTGTTTTCTATCATTTGTCCGTCGCTCTTCAGAACTCTGTTCTGGAGCCAGAGCGTCATTATTCCCGCTCCGCTCCTCTCCGGGGTTATCGTTGGCTTCCAGAGCACATGTCCATTCACGCCGGCTAAGCGGCAATCTCACTGTTCACAAAAAGATATCTGTTGCTGTGGAGACGACTGCCGGTGACGCCGCCGCCTGTCGCAGTGTGTGCAAGTTTTATCAAACATGCGCGGCGTATTTCAACGGCAGGATGGTGCTGAATGTGAATGACAGTGTGTGTGTGTGTGCGTGCGTGCGTGCGTGTGTACGTGTGTGCGTGTGTGTGTGTGTGTGTGTGTGTGTGTGTGTGCGTGCGTGCGTGCGTGCGTGTGTACGTGTGTGCGTGTGTGCGTGTGTGTGTGTGTGTGTGTGTGTGTGTGCGTGCGTGCGTGCGTGCGTGCGTGTGTGCGTGTGTGCGTGTGTGCGTGCGTGTGTGTGTGTGTGTGTGTGTGCGTGCGTGCGTGCGTGCGTGCGTGCGTGCGTGCGTGTGTGGGTGTGTGTGGGTGTGTGTGTGTGTTTGCGCGCTGTTGTTGCCATGGGAAAGACTGAGAAATGTTGGCTCGGGAAGATGTCTCTGTGACCGCAGAGTGAAATGAGAGTAGGTGTTTCCTTTTATGTGGTGGGGTTAGGGGTCCTCTGGGTGGGACCGCCGAGGAATTGTTGAAATCAGTCATCCTTAGACCGCCGGTCCCAAGCCGTGGGGTACATGTGTATCTACTCTTACCCCGCGATATCAACACAAAAGCTGTATGTTCTGAACAAAGTCGTTGTCTGTGATTCTGCCAGGTGGGGAAATTGATCGAGCTGCTGGCCGGGAAAGCCGGAGTCCTGGATGGACGGTTTCACTACGGTACGGCGTTCGGAGGCAGCAAGGTGAAGGACGTGTGCGAGGATCTCATCCGCTATGGATACAACTACCAGGGCAAAGACTACGTCACCTCGGGAATCACCGGGTAATAAAGAGCTCAATGTGTCGTCCCAGTAAACACACTCTCCCAGCTGCTTTCTACGTGGCTTTTTTCAATACCTTTCTTTGTGATTTTAAAGAAACGTCTGCTCACTCATTACAACATGACAAGAGTGCAACTTTTATTAATAAAGAAATCACCTTCCGTGTAGAGAAAAAGAAAAGTGACAAACGCCAATTCAAACAGGCGGACCAACAATCCCCACAAATGTCTGATTTGCAACCACCACCATGTTTTTACCTGATAATAGACAGATGCTTGTTATTGAATTGACTAAATAAACATTTTTCCCCCTCAGGGAACCTCTGGAGGCTTATATCTACTTCGGACCGGTGTATTATCAGAAGTTGAAGCACATGGTGCTCGACAAAATGCACGCCAGAGCCCGAGGCCCCAGAGCCGTTCTCACCAGGTAGAAATCAACGTCCCCAGTTGTAATCACGTGGAAATAACTAAATAACTACTGTTACTCTGGCCTCATCACTTCGCATCCCGTCGTCCTCAGGCAGCCTACGGAGGGCCGCTCCAGAGACGGAGGCCTGCGTCTGGGCGAGATGGAGCGCGACTGCCTGATTGGCTACGGAGCGAGCATGTTGCTTCTGGAGCGCCTCATGATCTCCAGTGACGCCTTTGAGGTGGACGTGTGCGGCCAGTGCGGCCTCCTGGGATACTCTGGCTGGTAAGTTGGACGCCGCAGATCGGTTTCCCCTGAGTGCCGACGCGTAGGATAACCGAGGTCTGCTGAGGCATTGCGAGGGTTTGTCAGGTTTTGTTTAATATGATTGCAGTGGGGGTTACAAATTGAATCTCTAAAGTGACTTGGAACAGTCCTCAGTTCTTATGGAGGTTCGGCGGGTCGTCCTCTGCTTTGTCCGCAGTCTTATTCTCAGTTTTCAATCTTCCAGGTGTCACTACTGCAAGTCTTCCTGTCACGTTTCCTCGCTGCGGATCCCGTACGCCTGCAAGCTGCTGTTCCAGGAGCTGCAGTCCATGAACATCATCCCCCGACTCAAACTGTCGCGCTACAACGACTGAGCCGGCAGGGACACGAAGGCATGTCTGTGTGAGTGAAAGGTTCAGAGGTAGAGATTTAAGCCTTCACAGTGTTTAGAGCTGTGAATGAAGAGGGAACCGGTTAAATCCTGCGTTTACATTTTTGTTGGTGTTTGCAAACTAAGACCATGTGACGGTTCGCATTTGTGTTCATACTTTCTCACCATTGTTTTTTCTATGTGTACATAATAAACTAAAGAAAGTTTCACAATCAGCTGCTGTGTGTCCTGCTATTTGGTTACTTAACTACTGCTATATTATTTCATGTCAAATTACAAATATTGAAAAAGCTGCAGAACTTGCATGTTCCTTCCCGTCTGCTTCTCTTCAAAATGGCCCAAAAGTAAAGAAATGTGTTTAAAACATTGTTGGAAGATATAAACTCTTCTCTTAGTTAAGGTGTAATTTATGTGCTGATGAATCATTTCAAGAAAATATCCATTTACCATAATATTTAAAGGTCTGATAATGGTGAGAAAACACCCACATTTAGTCTTGAAATGTATTCATTTCATATTAATGATCAAATGTAACATCTAGTGAGTAAATGGAATGAATATGTTCCACTATAATTCACTACATAAATTATAACAAATACTTGAGTATTTGTTTGTGGCCTAATACTAACAATAATACTCATTTTCATTGGTATTTAATATTTTGAGTATCTTCTTGATTAATGCATTCATAATTAGTTAAATACAAATATCAGGACATTTTGAAAGATGGCCGTCTGAACGAAGACAACGAAAACCACTTAAGAAGCTAAAACAAGACTCAGTAATTTTCAAAGTTCTCCAAGAGCTAACCACTGCAGTTGGTCTATTTTACGGCTGGAAATGCCATTAAATACCAACACCAGGACACGATTTTCTAGTAGTAACACTGAATTATCAGCCAGTTCATATTAAACCCATCGGGTAAAATGTTTCCACATGTTTGCTTCCAGATGAATCCGTTTAGAAACTAATTGGAGGCTCATTAAACCATTAGTATAAATATTTGTTTGTATTTACATGGTTTAATAGAAGATGAACCCTTTATTAAATGTGAGGGGGAGACAGCAGGATGCTCAGTGAGGACAAATGGAAATATGCAGTGACACAGTCATGGAGAGAAAGTCTCTTTTGATACGGTTTTCTTCCTTTTAAACCGAAGCCTCGATACCACCAACGTGCCGTATGCAGCGTAAGCATACCCCCCCCCACACACACACACAACTCAATTGGGGCCTTTTCACTGAACAAAAGAGGTACACATCCGTTTGTGCAGACAGATTCTGTGAGAATAGGACGGGTGGAAGAGGCTCTTTTGGTGGCTGCACCTGTCCTGTTTTATGAGGCTCTAATAAGCAGATAACAGGGTGAAAAAAAGGATGTCATCCACTGAGGGAGATACAGACTCCACCTCCTCCTTCTCTGACTGCAATTAATTAGATCCTCCTTTTGAGGCCATGGCTTTTTTCAGCAGCCACCACGCAGGTCTTGATGCAGTGTTGTGTCATTAATGTGTGTTAAAGTATATCTCTTTAATTAATGCGTGAGTTTAATCTCACGCATTAAGAGGCAGATGAGCGAAAATGAATAAGACGTTATGAGTCTTGGTCATTTTATTTCCTTTTTTTAAAAATATTCTCAAATTCCTTTTGACCTTCCATTCCTCCCAGCAGCTTCTTTATTCCGGATGCACAGACCTGCTCTAACAAAGCGTGGCCCCCATGCACGGTTTGCTACGTGACGGTGCCCCCGCGCACGTGCTCCCAGGTATCTGAGCGGTGCCGGCCGGTCAGGAGGAGTAGCGGTGCTGCCCACGACCTGCGCACTGGTGGAGAAAGTCCTCCTCCGCTATCCATGGTGTGGTGAGTAATTCAGGCATAATCCGCCCTTCTCTTCTCCCCCCTCTCCTGTGGTTCCATTCATATTCTAATCACAGCTTTCGCTTCTCCAGCTCTCAGGCACTCCATCAGAGCCCTCCCAGCCTCGGGGCTTTGCACTTTTACTTCCCCCCCCTTTGTGACCGTTCCCTCTTCTCAGAGGCACACCAAAAATAGGGTTGCCACAACGAAAAGAGTGAGCGGAAAAAACAGGTGAGAAATCCAGCAAAAAGCATCCACACGGGTGCACTTTTTTTGTAGGCATGTATGAATGCGTGTCCGGCTGCACGATGTGTCCAACTGCTGACAAAGTTACTGCAAAGATGCCTCAGCGGTGGAGTGAGGTGATAAGTGGCCAAGTGTGGCAACAAGTGTCCCTGGGATATGAAACGAGAGTTAAAATAAGAAGCAACAGGCAGGAGTGGTGGTGTTGTGGGGATGTATGTTTATATGGAGCTCTGGGGTGTATAAAAACGTATTAAATGCCATAATGGAAGACGGGGAGGCCACAGTGTTAGGACTGCGTAGATCTAAGCCTCTTTTTTTTTTTTTTCTTCTTTTTTTTTTTTCGTTTTGAGGGAGCTTTTCTTATTCAAAACAGCCCCACAAAAGACTTCCAGTGAGCCTTGCCACATCCCCATCTGACTTGGGGCCATTCATCAGCCTTCCAAGCCTATCAATGACATGTCCCCATCAGGGCTCCTATAAAATCAGCCCCTTTCCCATGAAACATCAGCAAACATTTTGACGGGTCTGGCTTTCCCCCCGCTGGATTTCTGGAGTCTCTACCCCCTCCTCCCCCCTCCACCTCCCCCTACAACCCACCACCCCCTCTTTCCTCCCTTATTCCCACCTCCCCCCTTTCTCCTCGACCAACACCACCCCTCTCTGGGCGAACCTCAGATCCTCAACATCTCCTGTGACGGGCAGTGGACACGGAAACACTGAGCGAGCCAGCGAGGAGGGGGAAACGTGCACTGAGCCATTTTCTTGGGGGAACCAGTGCCATTGATGGGAAGAGGATGCATTGCGGGCTGCTGGAGGAGCCTGATATGGATTCCACAGGTCAGTCCTGTTAATCTCCGCTCGCTTTGCTTTGTGTTGAGAAAACCTGCTTTTGTTCAGCTTCTGATTCTGCTGCTGCTCTGGAAGTAGACAAGTTTCTCTTCAGTCATGCAGAGGACGTGTCTGGATGCTCGGCTTTTGATAATTTTTTTAGTTTTTTTTTAATAGACGTGATCATTTATTATTTTTTAATTTTAATTCTGAAGTTTTTGGGCATCCACATTTGTGCGCAGTGCTGTTGTATCATAAGTGTGTAACTTATTGACGGATTCAAGAAAAGTAACAGTACGCCAGGGAAATAGCCCTCAAATGTTTCCGTGATTGGTTTGGTCAGGTGGCTTCTTGCTGTTTTCAGAAAGATTCATTGTAAACTTCTGGAATTACGTTTATGAGAGAAGGGTTAAACGTGTGCATCATGTTTAAAGCATGCATCTGCTCTCAACTCACTTTTCTGTTTATTATTAGTCCAGAATTGGAAAAGGTTTTATTCAACTTCAAAACTGATGTTTACTGAGAATTAGTAAATGATTAGTAAGGGATTATAAAACACGGGATTTATCTATTTAATTTGGTAAACGTATCTGTATTATTTGGGTTTCCGAAACATGAGCGGTTGAGGTTAAATCTAATTAAGAGTTAGTTAAAGAGTTAAAGTTAAACAAGGTTTTTTTTTAATCTGAATTTCTTAATTTGTGAAATGATTTTAAATGATTTATTCACAGTATGCAGGTGCACCATTGCAGACTAGTTTAACCTTGCATGTGTGTGAATAAATGAGTGTTGATCAAATTTAATCCAATTATTTAGATCCCCAACATATTTGTTCTGTGGCAAATGAAGCTTGAGAGCTGAGCCTCTGTGGAGAATCAGCTTCACTCCAGTGGATTCACCCTTTCCTATACATTTTTTTTAACTTTTTGTTAGACAGAAGCAAATGTTGTCAGTAAATAATGAGACGTCAGTGACACTGGTATTCAGAGTTAAAAATTAAAATTTACAGAATTGTTTGTACATATATATATATATATATATATATATATATATATATATATATATATATATATATATATATATATATGTATACCAGGCATTTTAATTGACATGTATTATTAATCAGTTGGCAATATTAAAGGTGATGAGAATCATATGTCCACAGCAATTGACACCATTAAAGAGCCTCAACTAATATATTCTTAGAAAGAAACCCCTCTCCCGTCAGTGGGCTCAGTGGGCCGTGAGTTTGCGCAGCGACGTTGGGATTCTTGACTGCAGTCGGACGTTGTCCATCAACACGTGACGAACATCGAGGTGCAGATTCCTCATCGCCTGTAGACTTTTAGAACTTTTCACCATGTGTGAACTGCTCTCAATACCCGCGTGGGCTTCACCAACAGGTCGTTGCCGGCAGTCTGACCTAAACCAACAGCTGCTACGGGGATTGTTGTCACATTGAGGAAGGAAAAGGAGAAAATAAATATTTAGTTGAAAGTTGACTTTGTTAAAAGTAACTTTACCATAGTGCTGTGTAATTTTCGAAGGTGGTATTGACTGCTCATTTGTATTTCAGGTTCATAAAGTCTTCATTCATCAGATGTAAGGATGATGCAACACATTTTACTTTTTATTTCATTGTTCTGACTGGGACATTCAGTGGCTTGCAAAGAAGATGTAGCTTATTATTAATTGAAAGGAACAAGATGAATATTACTTTATTACTTTATTACACTTGTCTAATAGTAAATTCCTTTGTTGTCAGAAATAAAGGAATTTCAAATGGATATCCACCCTACTTATCAGGCTGTTTCTACATGAAAGCTTTGGTGTTTTGCTGCAGCTCGGTCACAGAAAGCACACATGTTGAGCCATTTCTAAGTGGAAATTAAAGCAGGACAATGGCCTCTATTCCACCAGAATGCTTCAGTGATGTGCACAGGCTCTTTTAAGCGAGTGTGTACGCTCGTAGTCTCCTGGGAACAATGCTGGATTCCTGCCGTCCTGGTGAAAACGTCTCAAATAGAGCAAAGGCTGCATCGCTGCCCATACAACCCATTGTGGTCAGCTCGCCTCGTCACATTCGTGACATTTAAAGTGTCCTGTACAGCCAGTGCTTTTCAATGTTCATGTAAATAAAGCTTCAGCTGTTTTGTTCTGCACAACAAATTAAGTCCACTCAATTAGACAGTGAGTTTTGGAATTATAAGTCTATGTTTCCATGAAAATGAATTCAAAGAAATAGACCCAAAATGCTAAACAGTGATGCTTTAGCTGAAGGACACTTAAAAGTCCCACAGTTACATTTTTTAAAAATCATCTTCTTTTGACCATATTTAAACTGTTATAATAACTTAAGAATTACAAAAAGGTCATTTTTCTGAGTTGTACTAAAAGGCTTCATATTACAGTTTGTCCAGCTGTGTGATCTGTGGTCCATCGTGTCGTTTTTAGAGAGTTGGATTGAGAGATGCCTCAACGAGAGTGAGAGCAAGCGGTATTCCAGTCACACGTCACTGGGGAACATGTCCAACGATGAACGTAAGCAGGCACCAAACCTTCTGACTTCACCGTTGTTCAAAATCATGTATCAGTCTTACAGCTAATGCCTTCAGTTCAATTAATGTCATTTAATGGGGACAGTTTTTCAAAAGGTTTATGTTTTGTCCGTTAAATAAACCTGTTTAAATAAACCTGTTTATTTAACGGACAAAACATAAACTTTGCCCCTAAAATCCAAAATGTGTTGTATGTTACAGATGAAGAAAAAGAAAACAACAGAGCCTCAAAACCACATTCGACACCGGCTACTCTGGAATGGTAAGTTATCTAAAACACATTTCTATATTGTATTTTTCTTTAGTCCAATCAAATGCGAGCATTGCAGATTTTGTTAAAGTGTGGAACCTTAAACCTGAATAATCAAGTCTACGATTTACTTTGCAGGTATGGTGAATAATAGTTCATATGAATCTTGTCACTTTATTTGATTTACATTTTTTTCTACTTTGTATTCAATTATTGATTTTCGTGTACGTACAGTATGTATATATTTTTTTATTTGACTTGAAAATACATTTGTTTGAATAATTTTCTGTGAAACGCACAGATGAGACTCTGGTTCTCTACACGCTGGCTACATTTCTCGTCTTACCTCATCAGGATCCTATTGATGTTTATTTGAGATTCTGACCGTGACAAACTGATTTGATGTTTTATTCGTCCTCCCGGGGGGATTGTGATTTGAACGGCACACAGCACACACACACAGCACACACACGGCACACAGCTGTTGAACAATAGAGACATCGAACACAAACAGATTTAAAACGTGGTGCCGCTTCGACATGCAACAGATCTTTCATATCCTCTGTGTGCATCAAATGGAAACCCCACACATGCCTGTAGTTAAAAAGTGGCCTCCTATTGCACAGCCGCATGACCCCATTTACCTAATTGCCTTCAGCATTATCTTAAATGAATATTTATACTGATTTAATCTGCGCTGTGGGGGGGTGAAACCCAGTGTGAGGAACAGTATTATTGAGTACAGAGTAAAGTATTATAAACATGAATGATGATGTAATTGTTATTTCACTGTGCCTATGGAGCTTTTTCCATTCTAGTGAAATCTGCAACAAATGTACGCAACTCTAAAAGTAACCACAATTATGAGTTTTAGATTGAGCATCTAGGTTTTATTTGTTGAACCAGGGAGAATACATTTGGTCACATGACTGTTTGGCCATGATTTGAATTTAATTTTTCAGAGATTGTGCTGGAATTAGCTTTTTAGTTTAGTGAACTATCCAGCCTTGTAAATGCAGTTATTTCAAAATAAAGTTGAAAGGCTGTTATATTTCTACAAAAGAAATGGAAATTGTTATTTCAGGAATATAGTTTAGACATCATCTTACTTAGGGAGGGGAGACATTCCCTCACCTTGGGGATGTGTTTCCTTTTCCTTCCTCCATTCAGGTTCATAATCCATCTGTTGCGCAATCAAACACCAGTTGTCTGTTCAGACTGTCAGAGAAGTGACCCGGTACGAGCTGCACGTGACGGTTTCTCTGCTGATTCATCAGTGATTTATAGTGAGTTGTTCCAAACATTAGGAAAACAGTGAATAGCTGTCACATGCTTTAGAAACAAAACAAATCGTGACTCAGAATAGACCGCTGGGGAACTTCACATAATAGAAAGTTGTGAGCGGAGGAGACAGTTCAAGCAGAAACAGGGATCTGTTGGACGGATACGAGATGAACCGATGATTACAGCTAATGCAGCACGGCTAAATGGCTTTCAGAGACGCTGACTGATGCATTAGACACGGGGACTACTTTGATTCAATGGTTGTATTAAATATAATTCTTTGTGCACATATTTCTAATCTAATATTTCAGTGCAGATTAATATGCAACATGACATGATGTGTATCGGAAACCGTTTTTCTGGGGCTTTCACTCACATTCATTACTAAAACCAACGCAACCCTTTATATACAGTGACTGAAAACAGATCAAAAGATAAACAAATTGAATCAATGTAAAACTGTCCACTTATGTTGGGAAAATTACTCAAAAATGCAGCTATGTGGAGTGTTTGGTGGCTAAGTGGTGACGCACATTCCAGACAACTGCAACAACTGCCCCTCCATCAAATATAATTTTGTAATTCCCTAGAATTTCTTATCATTTTTCCGTACAGCTGTTAATTAGACAGGATCACTTACTATCATCAGGAAAATGGTCTTTGAGACTATGACACACATAAATATCCCGACAGAAGCAGTTTTTATTGTCTGTGTAATTGTGAGATCTGTGTCAATGCTCAGGAAATATGACTCGTCTAAAGTTGTTTGCTGCTTTAAACTTATTGAATGATACTTTACCTCATATGTAAAGTAAATATGATTTAATGTGATCAAAAAAACTTTCACTACATCCATTAATTAAAGCTAGAATCTTGCTTCCTAAAAATAAACACATTAAATTACTGTTTTTTCACATTTGTTTTGACCAGACAAGTCAGAACCATATTAGATTTACTTTGCGCTGATAATTCCCATTCTTATTGACAGGCTAGAGGAGAACTATGAGATAGCTGAGGGTGTGTGTATCCCGCGAAGTGCCCTCTACATGCATTACCTAGACTTCAGTGAGAAACAGGACACGCAACCTGTGAACGCAGCCAGCTTTGGAAAGGTAAGATTCTTAAAATCATTGAAAATCATCGAAAAAGAAGGTCTGATAACTTATTGTTTCCTTCAGAATCCAGTTCAACACAAAACCTTTTTATTTATCTTTTTTAAACCCGTGCAAGCCGTGAACTCCACGCGGAGTCTTTAGAGTTTAGATGTACCTTCATGCAGACAGGTGAGTTTGGAGTAACTAAAACAAAATGACTCAACGGAAGACGGCACACGTGGATATCGAATGAAAAGCAATAAAACCCCCGTTCACTAAACCCAAATTAGTCTGACCATTTTATGCCCGGGTTGTCTCTTTTTTTTGGGCTGTTGAAGTAATTTCAACTGCTGCTCAGTGTGAAGCGAGCAAAGCTCTGCGGCCGTTCACTGAACACGTAATTTAGAGCCAACGAGATGTGCTTTCGTCTGTTCCCACAACCCCGAGAGGTTCCTCAGCCTTCCCACCCCCAGCCATCCCCTGTACCCCCGGACTCCGGCCCCAAACCCCAAACCCCAACCCCTAACCCCCAACCCCCAACCCCCAACCCCCAACCCCGGCCCGCCCCCACCCGTCCACAGCTCCCGTCGTAAGATATTGAAAAAGAGAAGGGGCCTGGATTAATGTGTAATTAAAGGAAATTTGGAAGGGTGAGATGTTGCGGAATGTTAGATCAGTGGCTGGAGCAGTGTGGGGTGTCCTTTAGGAAGGCTTCGTTGATTCAGGACAAAAAAACAAGAGAGGGCCCGGACTGCCTCCCTGTCTGCTCATTTATCAAGCGGGGGGGCCTGACAGAAACTTCACAGCTTGGCCTCTTTTTTCATCCCACACAATAGAGAGCTACACTGTTTGCTAAAGTTTCTGCACCAGGAGTTGGACCAGGGAGCCAATCTCTTTGGAAAGGAGGGAGTGGAGATGGGAAAAGAGAGAGTGAGAAGGAGAGACGATGGGTGGGTGGGTGGATAGATGAGGGGAGACTAAAAACTAATATCCCTGCATGTCATAAATGGATCCCCTCAGAGACCTCCCTGTGAAAACAGCTATGAGACCTTTGCATTGTTCCCGTTTTCTCATCCTGGAAAATGCACACGTTCACGCACATGCACACGCTGACTGAAGTCTTCTCTCCTGCATTCAACAGATCATAAGGCAGCAGTTTCCAGCGTTGACGACCAGAAGACTTGGGACCAGAGGGCAGTCTAAGTAAGTTGGTCCGGTTTATTCTTTTTTAAACCGGCTGCACGTTGCACACATGTTTACAAACCCTCAATCCCCCCAGCAGACAGACAGAGAGAATACTAAATAAAACAACCTATAAACAGCAAACATGATTAAAATACCAAAGACCGTAAGTTCAAATAAATCAATTCCATTGTGGTTCAGACTTTCTGGGAATCTTGAGTGTAATATTTGTTTTTTTACCTGTTTTAATAAAAATCTTTGTTTTTAATTGTTTTTAAAGCATCACTGCATAGTGAATGAGATTATTATTATTATGTTCTTCCACATTTTCAGAAATCAGAGAAAAATATGTCTTTTTTTTTATTTTCTTACATTGTTCGTTCCAAGCTTTTGTTTTCTCGTTTTTTCTTTAGCTAAAGTTTCATGTCTTTCTACCTACAACACGTCATGTCTTCCCTCAGGTACCACTACTACGGCATAGCCGTGAAGGAGACCTCCCAGTATTACGATGTGATGTACTCCAAAAAGGGGGCGGCCTGGGTGAACGAGACCGGGAAGAAAGAGGTCACGAAGCAGACAGTGGCGTATTCACCGCGCTCCAAACTGGGAACGCTCCTGCCAGAGTTTCCAAATGTCAAAGACCTAAATTTGCCCTCCAGCCTGCCAGAAGAGAGGGTAAACAGGAGTTTTTGAAAGTCCATCCTTACACCCCCCCCCCCCCCCTTCCCCTCTTCCTGCCATCCCGCCATCTCTGCGCCCCCTCTGGCTCCAGCCTTTTATGCCCGGGACCTTCACTGGGTTTGCATTTAGAGAAGGACCTTGAGGATTTATACGCTGGCTCTTCACTAACTCTTAATCTTTTGGGGGAGATAATAAGATCTAGCGATGGACAAAGGAAAGGCACTAGCTGTCCGGCTTTTAAAGAGGGGCGGTGATTTTAAACGGTTTGTGTTTTGCTGATCTCTAAAGCTCGTTTTGTATTAGTCCGCTCCTGCCCAGACCTGTAACACGTATTTATTGCTCCACATGGTTTGGGCAAGATTTATTCTCTTGTTTTTCTCCCACTTTTTTTTTTTCTCTCCCCCAATAGAGTAAAAAAAACAGTTAACGCTTGTGGTGCAATTAAATTGATACTCAGTTGTTGCCCACAGGTGTCGACCTTCATCATGATGTACAGAACGCACTGTCAGAGGATACTGGACACTGTTATCCGAGCCAACTTTGATGAGGCAAGTTTCTTCTGTTTTAGACCCTGTTAAGGATCCAACTCCAGTTTTTTACCCGACACACAGTGGGATTGCATGGGGAATGCAAGCACTAAAGAGTGCTGTCTGAAACAACTTTTATTCCCTATAACACTGAACGGCGTGTCTTACTTTCAGGTCCAAAGCTTCCTGCTGCACTTCTGGCAGGGCATGCCGCCCCACATGCTGCCAGTGCTCGGCTCCACCACCGTGGTAAACATAGTCGGGGTTTGCGACTCCATCCTCTACAAGGCCATCTCCAGCGTGCTGATGCCCACCGTCCTGCAAGCCCTGCCTGACAGGTGAGCGCCTGTGCTCTTCACTCTGAAGACTCTTATCTGTTGTAACTGAAATGACTTGTTGATGATGTCATTCTGTGTTTGTTGCATTGGGATTACGACAGAGATCACAAGCTGCTACATTAACGCCTCATCGTTGTGATTTAGTTCAGTGATTAACGTTGTTTATCAAACATAACTATGCTGCTACGGTTAAGGCCCTTTTGGCTTTGCTGTGCTTTTTCCCTATAGCTATCCTTTATTGTAATTTACACAAAAGACTGAAATGATGATGTTAGTTGACAAAATCGGGCTAAAGCATCATAAATTGTCTGGTTCCAGCTTCCCACACTAACCGTTTTATTTTATTTTAGAATATATGTTGTCCAATATACTAATTATGTTCCTGTTTTCTTTCATTCACACAGTTTGACTCAGGTTATTCAGATATTTGCCAAACAGCTGGATGAGTGGCTCAAAAAAGCACTTCATGACCTTCCTGAAAACCTGAGGAATATCAAATTTGAATGTATGTATGTATAAAAAGCCCCATCTCACTGTAATAGTTTACATCTTGTGTTTTTTGCTTTTTTTTCTAAACAAAAATGTGTAAATTATGACACTCGCAGGACTAAACAAATTCATTCTCATTTTTTGTTTCCAGTGTCCAGAAGATTTTCTCAGATTCTAAAGCGGCAAACGTCATTAAATCATCTCTGTCAGGTGCCTATCTCAGCGTCAATGTTTTTAATAAAACTCCATATGAACAAACACAGCCGATAAGGGACACGGGGACGCTCTTGTAATATTGCCGATGTATCTGTCCTCAGGCCTCGCGGACCGTGATAAACAGTGCCGACATCACCTTTCAAATGCTGGAGGACTGGAGGAATGTGGACTTGAACAGCATCACTAAGCAGACACTTTACACCATGGAGGACTCACAAGAGGAGCACCGGCAGCTTATTATCCACCGTAAGTCCTTTTAAACGGGATTCCACTCAAACACACCCGGGCAGACAGAGATTTACACTTTACAGCCACGCAAAACGACGCGACGTGGGACAAACATTCCCACGGCCAGCGGAGTCAAAGCGACAGACCGAGAGGTTAAACGAGTTCGCGTTCCTCTGAAACGCCCTGCGGAGCGACTCCTATTCACTGCGCCGATAGGTGGAGGCCGCCGTTGAAAGAAAGCGCCGCGACGCCACTCGTGTGTTCTCAGCTTTCAAGCGACGTGGAATGAAATGATAACCCGGCGTTCTCCCTCCCGTGGCAGTGTATCAGGAGTTTGATCGTCTATTGGAGGAGCAGTCGCCAATCGAGGCGTACATCGAGTGGCTGGACCTGATGGTGGACCGCTGCGTCGTCAAGGTCAGGCCACATTCACATTTTCCATTCATTTCGGGGAAAAATATGTCTGGTCGGGCTTCTGTTCATTCTTCTCTGAAAAGGTTTTTGTAATTTCTATGTTTGATGCCCTGAGGGAAAGTGTTTGTGCAGCAGCAGATCAGTTGTTTTGTAAAAGTTACACACCTCTGTGTGTCTTTTCTCACCCAGCGGGACTTGCGTTGCAATCCTCCCAGTTAATGATGTCTTCAAGCGTCCCATTTGCGTCCATTATGTGCCTGATATGGGCTTGTAAAATGTGGTTGCCCCGGCAACGTCTTGGACGGCCCAGACAATAGTTCAATGGGAGGCAAATTAAATAGTCTCGGGGGGCAAATTAAATAGTTGACTTGTCGACATGTTTTTTTTGCTCCTAAGGGTTAAGCCCCAATGTGGACCCGAGGGTTAATTCTACGCCACCATCTCAACCCTTCCCCCTCTTTTCACATGGAAATGTTCGCTCTAGGTGGCAGGGAAGAGGCCCGGGTGCCTGAAGAAGGTGGCCCAACAGTTCCTGCTGATGTGGTCGTGTTTTGGTACCAGAGTCATCCGGGATATGACCCTCCACAGCGCGCCCAGCTTCGGTGAGCTGCTAATGCTTTGTCCCCGTCCATCGAGGACACAGCTTTGACGTTGCTGCATGAGGATAGGGATTAGGGAAAAGTCATTTATTGTATTTTGCATCATGCATAGACAAGGGGACTACACAGACTATTTTGATTCCACAGATAACATTGCATTGGTAAAACATTTATCAGATAGAAACTTCTTATAATGCAAACAAAAAAGCACTTTGCTTCACCTAAAAATGAAGCTTTTATTATTATCCATCCAGTGGGGCCCTTAAATAAATACATAATGAGAGAAAAGGATACTTATAATTATAATATAATATATTATAATATAATAAGTAATACTTTAAATCACATCTTAAACAATAGATCATTACACCTGCCTGTTTCCTGAGCTATAGCTGAGTTAACTGAACACTGACTTTTCGTTAAAGTCAGAATTTAGTGTTTTTTTAACATGAGGAATGATTTGCTCTTAGCATTAATAAATAATACACTTAGTGAATCAATCAAGGAAATCAAACCAAAATATGGATTTTGCACTGCTTAATGTAGAGATGTGTCACATTTAAAGATATTCTAGTGAGCTGCAGTTCAGACGGATTCACAAATACATCTGTCATTGATTTTCATGTCACCACAGAACTGAACACTGATGGACATTTAGAAACTTGCTTATAAAAACTTGACTTGTAAAAAACTTGACTTGTAAAAGTGAAAGAAAAAGAAAATGTCTTCTCTTTCCTCTCCGCCTGTGAACATCAAAGACACAGCTTGTGTCAGTGTTTTGATAAAGCAGGTCTCTGTGCACAAAGCTAATTAACAAAAGCCTGTGTTTTCCATTTTATAACCGGTCAATGTTACAACCCGCTCCCTTGAATAGCCACAAGTGTTTATTGTGTGCAGGGCGGCAGCAGCCACCCGCACAATGACACAATTGTAACACTGCGTCACATGCCAGGGTCCCATCTTCCGTGCGACCCTGGGGTCAGCTGACATATTTCTGGCAGTAATTTGGGTACACGCAAACAGGCGCGCTCGCTTCTTTTTGATAACAGCAGCCCCCCTGCCCGTCTGCAGGATGTGATGTCATCACTTTTGCTTTAAAACGTCTTAGTCCTCTTAGTCGTCTTTGTTTGCGTTACAACTCATGCTGTCTTCTCTGTACGCAGGCTCCTTCCACCTTATCCACCTGATGTTTGATGACTATGTGCTTTACCTGCTGGAGTCGCTGCACTGCCAGGAGAGAGCCAACGACCTCATGAGGGCCATGAAGAGCGAGGGCAGCACAGGTGAGATTGCCACATGGAGGTCTAACCAGGAAATATTAGGAAATATCCAACAATTACCTACTGATATTTGTTTTAAACATTCAGTTTTAGCTCAGGAATTGTGAAGATTTGTTGCTGATCAACACGTGAAAAGCTTTGGTTTTTGACTGAAAACAATGACACTTAAAATATTCAGAGTTCAGATCTTGGTGGGAGTTACAAATATTGAGACGACGACTTTAGTCCAACAAAACTGCGTATTTTGCTCTGTCAGATTGGCTAACGGCCCGTCCTCTCTTTAAACCTTCAGCAGAGAGAGAGGAGAAATTCCCGGTGACAGAAACCACCGTCGCCTCCCCGTCCCCACGACCCTTCTCTCCCGCCCCGGTCGGTCCACTCGGTTTGCGTTTCCTCGGCCGGCTCCCCCACGGCGGCTGTGTCCCCGGAGTACGCAGGCGTCCCCGCCACCACCACCACGGGTAAGACGGCGTCCCAGTCACACGGACTATCCTGAATGAGCGCAAGTCTCACTGCACATAGATTCCCTTGAGCCAACACATTCTCTTTGTGTCCATATATGTGTCTACCAGGCGCTGTTCAGTCATATACCTGGTCCCTTACATACACAGTGACAACGGCCGGCGGCTCCACTCCAGAGGCCGGACAGCAGCTGTCCTGTATGAGGAGCAGCGCTCCAGTGCCACCGCCGTCCTCCACCCACCGGATGCCTGTCTACAGGGAGGAGCATGGGTAATTATCGCTGTGGTGTTAGCATTGGGTTTTCTTTCATGACAGAATTAGTTTTTAATGAGTTTTCTACTATTCCAGGTACACTGGTAGCTACAACTACGGCAGCTACGCCAACCAGCATCCTCACTCCATCCAGAGCCAGTATCCCAGTCTGGCCCATGAGCCGGCCATCACAACCCCCCTCCACTACTCCGCCTACCACCGGTCGTCTGCACAGGTCAGTCCCGGGGAGGAGAAATTAATTAAGTGAATGGGTCCTACATCCGAAAGTGTGCGTGTTTAAACAAACAAGCATTAATCACAAAATGTACTTCAATTAGTATTATATTATAGTATTATTAGTATTATATTATATTAGTATTATTATTGAGACATGGACTAAGTTTCAGCAATTCATCTTAATATTTTATAAGATCATATATTTTGATCATGTATGCATGTGTGCTTGCGTGTCTGTACCTGTATGTATCCACATTAGAGAGCTGTGTGCAACTGAGATGTGTTGTTTGTCCATCTTGTGAGAACTGGAAAAAGAACATGAAGCATATGTGCTGCCCAGAAATAGAGCATTAACATGTAGTACATGTAGATTGTGAGATGCTTGACGCACGCTTTGGTGCACTTTGCTGCAGAGTAAGTAAACATTAAAAAGTAAAGACTGCAGGTTTAAATAGGAGGAAAAAAGGCTCGCCGGGGTGAGATTGTCTGATGCCACAGCTTGTGTTGCGACTGATGTGTGTGAGTTTACTCTTCTGATGGTAATTTCCTGTCAAGGGCCCTCCAGCCTCGAGCAGGAGGAGATCAGCTGGGCCTCAGCAGTCGCAGTGTTTCTAAAAGCCCCCGAATCGCCCTCTCAAGAGGGAGAAAGGTGGCTCGGCCCGGGCCAAGAGAAGCCTCTGTTGCTCCTCTCTCCAGCCCTCGATAGTCTCTTCGTCTGTCTGAGCCAGTAGCCACAGAGCAAGGGAGGCGTTTATTAAAATATTGTTATTCAATGGTCTCTTTTCTGCTTGTGAAGAAGAGGCAGCTGAGCCGTCTGTTCTGCTCTCTGACCTGCGCTGACTGTCTCTTTCCATGTCGTGGTCCTTCATAATGGAATCGACTGTTTATGTGTTTATATTTAGTGAGGGAAAGGGAAATAGGGTTGCACTTCCTCCTTTATTTTTAAGCCGGTCTGAGCTTAAATCGGGCACAATGCTGGCACTTTGTCCGTGCGGGAGGCTGGGGATCGAGCCGAGACGAACACAAAACCTCGTCGGATCCACATCTGTCCAAAATATTTTTGGGATAGATGGGAGAATTAGTCAGAAATGTTTGGCTTCAGTCACCAGAGGCAACAAAAGGAACACAGGACAACCACCGATGTGTGATTTTCCTAAGTGACTTTATTTTCTATTTAGACCATGTGAAGCAATTTCCCCAGACAGGAAATTACCATCGGCAGGGTCAGTTCACACAATATGCCGCGACAGGGCTAACGCAGTATCAAATATGCTGTTAGAGCTGTGAGTGCACAGAGGTCAGCGCCTCTGTGCATGTTCAGGGAACGTGTTGGGTTCTGCAAACTGGAGTTACAGAAGTACACTCAAACAGTTGCACATGCTGGGTGTTGTTTTATACGCTGATTGAGAAGTGCCCTCAACACTGTTTTCTAATCAGCATGTCAAAGTTTTTGTATTCCTCGCAGCATTTACCCCTTTAATGGAATAGTTTAAAGAAAAGTCAACAGGTGCATTTCCCAAAATATTAAACAGTCAGATTGATTAAAGATTAATACCACTCATGTCTGTCTCATATCTTCGCTTTGCATGAAGACATCTGGTATGTGGGAGAAATTGCTGACTCGCATCTCTTAAATCTCGTTTGTCCAGAAGTGTGGAAGCTGTTTTTTGTACGGAGGGTTTTGTAACCGGCTGAGTGAGCCTCATATCTAATCAGACAGATCAGAGTGTTTTTGAACCTCAACTTAACTGTCAACGGGAAAGCGATTAATTTCCTTTCTTCCTTAACATTTAAAGAAGACGTATGTTAATGTAACTGAAAGATTAAAGATAAAACACATTTGTTGATTAATCTATCAAGTCACATCACAGTAAATGTATTTTAAAATTATTGAGATAACTGAAGTGTTTGGGTCACTTTTCAAGGGAAATACCAAACATGTAACGCAATGCCCTCTAAATGCCAGGATATTTTATGTTTTTCTTTGTCTTTTTCTCACTAAACTGAATGTATTTTGATTTAAAGGCACGATAGAGACAATAATCAGCAGGTTAATTGGCAGTAAAATTACTGTCAGTTACGGTTTTACTCTAAATTAAATCCTGCATCCTGTTTCCTCTTTTTCTCCCCTTCCCCAGTACCAGCTCAACGGCCAGATGTCGCGCATGGAGCCGTGCTTGATGAGCAGCACTCCGCGGTTACACGCTGCACCCGCCGCCCCCCGGTGGCCCGACGTGTCACCGGCTAACGCCTGTTACAGCAGCCCACCTATGCATTCGTCCCGCTACGCCACCTCCGGGGACCTATACTCTCCCCTCGGCCCACGCAGGAACTCAGAGTATGAACACTCGCAGCATTTCCCAGGCTTTGCCTACATTAACGGAGAGGCCACCACGGGCTGGGCAAAATAAACAATGGTCACCCGTGTAAAAGCCCCGGGCCTGTCGTACTTGCGGATGCAAAGTATCTGAACGCTTCTAGAGAGGAACAGAGAGTACATGGTAATAAGAATCATGGTATGTACATACTGACACTTTGGAAAGCCTCGCCGATGATGTGTAACTTGCGTTAAAATTGATGGGGGGTTTTTCCACCGCTGGAGGAAAATCAGACAGAATGAACTTGCAGCAAAATCATTTAGAAGTGCAATGCTGCTGCCAAGCTGTGCCTTTGTTTTATGGAATGTAAACCTCTGTTTCCCTCGCCTGTCTCACAAATCAGCACACGCATCGTCCCACCAACCCTCAGTTTTGTCAGTGACTGGGGGGATCCGTGTGCTGCAAGCCTTCACTGACACCAGTACAATCTCAGTGAGTGCGTGTCTCCTCTTGTCGCTCAGCGTTGTGCGGCATCTTGTCATGAACCTGCTGCAGTGGCTTTGATTGCTGCAGGATATGGATGAACTGCACTGCCTTAAAGTTCTTTTGGGACACACGTTACATACAGAGGCACCAAACGAAGGACAGATTTAAACTCCTTGATCGGTGTATCAAGGAGTCTCCCTCTTGATCGTTTTTTTTAAGTGATCGAATGCGGTGACTCAAAAACAACTGCGTGTGTGTCTTCTGTTGCAAGATTGTTTGCTGTTTTACTGTGACTATATATGTATATATACATATGTACATGTATATAAATATATACATATATATATATATATAGTATGTATTTTCTGTAACTTTGTAACATGGTGTATCCTTTATTTTCTATGTTACAATTGGTACTTTGTTCTCTGTTTTATATGGTTAGTGAAAGACACATTAACTTAGGGTTGTGTGTTTTATAATGCACTCACTGAGGACCTATTACCCTATGGGTATTTCTAAAAATGGAAATTAGCAAAGTGTACAGTAACATGAAGTCTAGTCACTTTTCTGTAAATAAAAGCACTGGAAACTGTCTGTGGTGACAATTTAAAGTCTTTGTCAAATTGTCTTCCTTTTTCAACTGTCACTATAACTAACAAACCTCCCTCATTGACTAACTCTATACCGGCTCGTCGCAATATTCGCTCCCTCTCTCCCTCCTCGCTGGCATCCTCTGTTCTATCAGCTCTCCCTTCAACTGATTCCTTCTCACTCTTGCATCCGAACGCTGCTGCAGGGACTCTCCTCTCAACTCTTTCCTCCTCTCTAGACTCTCTCTGCCCTCTTACGACACGACGGACTGGCAAATCCCCTCCGGCTCCGTGGCTGTCTCAACCAGTCCGTGCCATGAGAGCCACCATGCGAGCGTCGGAAAGGAGATGGCGTAAATATAAACGACCTGACGACCTGCTTAATTTCAATCTCTCCTCTCCTCGTTTTCTGCTTCTATCTCTGCTGCCAAAAGCTCTTTCTACCAATCCAAAATCGAATCTTCATTCTCTAACCCCAAAAAACTCTTCTCGATCTTCTCCAATCTCCTCGAACCCCCTACCCCTCCTCCCCCCTCCACCCTTCTTCCGGGAGACTTTGTCAACTACTTCACCAACAAAATAGCTGACATACGCTCCTCCTTCTCGAACCCACCTCCTACTTCTCGCGTCGCACCGACCTCACCTCTTTCGCCCTCACTTTCCTCTTTCATCGCCCTCTCTCCTAACCAAATTCTTACCCTGGTAACCTCTGCCCGTCCGACCACCTGCCCTCTTGACCCCATTCCATCACATCTTCTACAATCTATCGCACCTGACCTTCTTCCGTTCCTCACCTGTCTCATCAACAACGCTCTGTTATCTGGCTGTTTTCCCAATTCTCTGAAGGAGGCAAGAGTCAACCCCCTCCTGAAGAAACCCACCCTCAACCCTTCTGAAGAAAACAACTACAGACCGGTCTCTCTTCTTCCCTTTTTGTCCAAAACCCTTGAACGTGCTATCTTTAATCAACTCTCCTCTTATCTCCACTGTAACAACCTCCTTGACCCCCACCAGTCAGGTTTCAAGGCAGGCCACTCCACAGAGACTGCTCTCCTTGCTGTCTCTGAGCAACTCCACACTGCTAGAGCCGCCTCTCTCTCCTCTGTCCTCATCCTTCTGGACCTCTCTGCTGCATTTGACACGGTCAACCACCAGATCCTTATTTCCTCCCTTCAGGAACTTGGTGTCTCAGGCTCTGCTCTCTCCCTTCTCTCGTCCTACCTCGACGGCCGCACCTACCGGGTAACCTGGCGAGGATCTGTGTCGGAACCGTGTCCTCTTACTACCGGAGTTCCTCAGGGTTCCGTGCTGGGTCCCCTTCTGTTCTCGCTTTACACCAACTCTCTTGGCGCTGTCATTCGCTCGCATGGCTTCTCTTACCACAGCTATGCCGATGACACCCAACTAATTCTCTCCTTCCCTCACTCGGACACCCAGGTGGCGGCTCGGATCTCTGCCTGTCTAACTGACATCTCTCAGTGGATGTCCGCCCACCATCTGAAAATCAACCCCGACAAGACTGAACTACTTCTCTTTCCCGGAAAAGATTCGCTTACCCAGGACCTGACAGTCAACTTTGGGAACTCCGTACTAACGCCCACTTTGACCGCTAAGAACCTCGGCGTCACACTCGACAGCCAACTCTCCCTGACTCCCAACATCACCGCGACAACGCGACCCTGTAGATACACGCTCTACAACATCAGGAGAATACGTCCCCTTCTCACTCAGAAGGCAGCGCAGGTACTGATTCAGGCTCTTGTCATCTCCCGCCTGGACTACTGCAACTCCCTCCTGGCTGGTCTCCCTGCCACCGCCATTCGACCTCTGCAGCTCATTCAGAATGCAGCAGCTCGACTGGTCTTCAACCTTCCGAAATTCTCCCACACTACTCCACTCCTCCGCTCTCTTCACTGGCTACCGGTGGCCGCCCGCATCCAGTTCAAAACATTGGTGCTCACGTACCATGCTGTGAATGGATCGGGTCCAGCTTACATCCAGGACATGGTCAAACCCTACATCCCAACCCGCACTCTCCGCTCTGCATCTGCAAAACTACTCGTCCCTCCCTCACTGAGAGCAAAACACTCGACTAGATCTCGACTCTTTGCTGTCCTTGCGCCGAAATGGTGGAACGAGCTCTCTGAAGACACCAGGACCGCAGAGAGCCTTCACATCTTCCACCGCAAACTAAAGACAAACCTCTTCAGACTCTACCTCGACTAAAGACTAACAAATTGTAGCACTTAAATTGTACTTGTAACGTCACTCATCTATAGCAAATTGTAAATTGGCTTATTTAAGGAAATTGCACTTTCTTGTTTCTTGTTCTCCTGAGTTTGTACCCTATGGTTGAATGCACTTATTGTACGTCGCTTTGGATAAAAGCGTCCGCTAAATTACATGTAATGTAATGTGTTGATTTTTTCTGTATTTAGGTCCACTAGTCATGATATGTCCAAATATCTTTAACAGTTTTATAGTTAAACACATTATTTTTATCTATTTAATATGCATAATCCATGTTAGGACTGCAGCAAAGCCTGCTCATTGATTTAAGTTTCGCTCCAATAGTTAAAGTTTTTAATATAATTGTTTTGGTAGATTACTTTTGAAGTTGACTTGAGAGCTATTGACATGTGTTACTTCTGAAAATACACTTCACATTTACCTTCTATTATAGCTCCAGTTTACTTTTTTCTAAAGTAGTTTGGGCTCATAGTTACTTCTCTCCATGCAGTGTTAACTCAGTGGGGGGTTTGGTCGGTGGCACAAGAGCCAGAACACTGCAGAAAGAATTACATTTCAATGGAGAGAATGTCCCGGTTCGCTGGGGTCATTGTATCTCAGTCCCATAACCTTTGACTTTGAATCTTTGACCCTTGTCTAGATGTGTTTTTATTGGAACAGATCCTCTCCCAAATCCTGCAGGATTCACGACAGAGACTTTGTATTCAGATGAAAACAACAAGTAGCTTCCTTTGTGCTTCCTTTATAAACGTTTCTGATTCCTGATTCCTGATGCGCTTTAAAACGAGTTTAACTGAAGCGTATTTCTTAGAGGAAACTTTAAAAAGAAAACCTTTATCTATCAATTTGATTTCAACTTTCCATTTGGGTTAGCGTTATACAAATCACAGTATCTGCAAGTATAAGTGAAACTATTACATTATTAGGAGAAAAAGGGACATAGTTACATCGATAGATTACACCAAATAAGAGAAAACATACAAACTAAGCTTCAAACCGCAGAGATTGTTCATTTATGGTGCTGCAGACAGCGTATATCCTGATCACACTACTGAAGCAGTAACACCAAGCGTGAACATGATATTCATAACTTTCAAAGAATATACCGTCAAGCTTTGTCCAAAAGCTTTTTGACCTTTTGACCCGAACCTCTGATCGGACATGGCATAATATTCTGTGAAGGGATTGATTACATTTCAATAATCATCTTAATTCCAAAAACATAAAAAATATTCTGTGTGTGTGTGTGTGTGTGTGTGTGTGTGTGTGTGTGTGTGTGTGTGTGTGTGTGTGTGTGTGTGTGTGCGCGCGCGCGCGTGCGTGTGTACACACTGTCCCTGCACACCGGGTGAGTGAGGAGGAGCCGCCCTGAACTGATGGAGACTTTCAGGGGAGGTTCCCTGTTGACGGAAGCAGCCCTCACTGACGCTCTCACTAAGCTAGCCTGCTAGCAGCTAGCTGGAACAGCTTCCTAACACCCATTGGTGACGTCCAAGACCAGGGGAACAACTCTAATCCTGCGATATCCACCATGGATTTGAATGTTATCTTGTCGCAGCTCGAAACCGTCGGCGAAGAGGACGTCGAGGAGTTGCTGCGGCAGTATATTCGTAAGGTAAATCACGGCTCCGCGTCAACCATAACAAACCGCGGCGCTAGCGTTAGCTGGCTAGCCGGCTAGCTAAACAAATAATCGTCTTACCCGCCGACTAAGCTACGACGCCGCCAACCGTTTAACGTGAGGTCAACGAGACGCTCGATGCGTCCTTTAAAACAACGACGCACTGGTGCTGATGGCGCTAAAGCTCACGTTACTTCACTGGACACTTGGCGACGTTAGCACACTTTAGCTGTTTGAGGGAGGTTACTTAAGAACTAACGACATCCTTTTTTGTTTGTTGAAGAGGCTCGTGTGTATTTACAATAAGGTCCGAGTTGTTCGGTGTCCACAATGAGGATCTGGTGTGTTTCAGAATAGACACACCTTCAGTTTCGACCCGAAGGAGGAATCCCTCCGCATCGTAAGTAACGGTTCATCGGTTTATCGGTTTAGGATCAGGACAGCCCGGTCACGTTGTCATCTACCGTTTGTTAATTCCAGAAGCTGTGCCAGAGTGTGTTGTCAGTTCTCGGGAGGCAGGTGAAGCCCGGCTGTCAGAAGACATGTCTGGAGACACTCCGCATCCTGTCCAGAGACAAGCGTGTCCTCGCACCTGTGGCCACCAGGGAGGGCATGCTGATCCTGGGAGGGATGGCGAGGATGAAAGCTGGGCGGGACGGCGGCAATAACCGGATCGTCTCTCGGGAAGACGCCCCGTCGGAGGAGGAAGAGGAGGAGGAGGAGAGGGTGGTGGTGGTGGAAGCCCTGAAGTGCCTGTGCAACGTGGTGTACAACAGCCCCGCCGCTCAGCAGGTCAGCGTGGACGTGCAGCTGGCGGATGGCCTCTGTGCCACCCTGCGCACGGCCCGCACGTGGCACCACGAGGTGGGCCTCTTCACGCTGCGCCTGCTCTTCCTGGTGTCCGCGCTGCGAGCTGACGTGAGGGGGGTCTTGAGGCGAGAGTTGCGCGCCGTGGCGCTGCTGACGGAGGTGCTGGAGCACACCCTGGGCGTGAGCTGGGTCGGGCCCTACGAATGCGCCCGCCCAGATCCGCAGGCCGTGGCCATGCCCGCCGAGGACAACGAGAGAACCATGGAGGCGCTCAAAGCCTTGTTCAATCTCACGCTGTCTGACACCGGTGAGAAGGTGAGTGGGATGAGGTCGCACGTCACGAGCTCGTCATTCGGGTTTGCTTTTCCTTCTTGTTAGTTATTCATCTCTATTATTAAGTGTGCGTTCTTTCTCGCTCAGACTTTCGTTCAGTTAACGATAACATAATGAATTCAATGTAAATGTGACACGGATTCACTATTATCTTGATTATCCACATTAATCAGCCATTAATCAACAGCATCCCACCTCCATAATAAGATTTTTTTTTTAATTAAACCACAATGGGGAATGTTTTGAACTCTGAAATGCGCATTGCTTTAAAATTTGTTGCTCCAAGGGCAACATTATCTCATTTCCTTGTGTAAAGGTTAAAGCAAGGTAACGGTTGGCTAAAGGACAGATGAGAATAATAGTACAGAAGCCTTGGCGTTTAGAGAATTCAAACAGAACATCTCATTGCTGCAACTCTGTGTTCTATAACAAGTGTTTATCAGCACTCTGCCATCAACGAATATATTATTCACACCTTTGCTTTTCCTACTGTGGCAAAATGCCTCTTTCATCGGCTACACACATGCCAAAAGTGGTATTATCTTATCCACGAATGAAACGGGAAGATATTTAGTAAAATAGGATTCTAGAGCATAAGTCAACAATTACATTTGGTTGTAATTGATGTCATCCATGATTTAGTTATCGTGTAGTAGTTTGTATCTGAGGCTGATTTCTGAAAATTACTGTCAAAACATTTCATGCAATTTTGACTGAAGAGGAGACATGACTGCAAGTGCTGCATCTGACACAATGTAAGTCTTCGTGACACCAAAGTTTGAGTTTTTAGTTAGACCCTACTCTGCACTTTGAATCCGTAGAAATCCAAACTTCTTCTTCCTCAATTTATCCCCAATCTAGATTTAAAGCTTTGATCTCAACCCATCCCTTAGCTCTCCTGTTTTTTCTCCAACGGGATGTTACCAGTGTGTGAAATTCCCTTTGTCAATCCAGGGGTCCCATCCAGACTCACCATAGACCTCCAGGATTTTATGGACGTAGGCCAAGGCAATCAACCAGGCTATACACACTATGCACACACATTATCCCAGGCCGACATATTTGCCCAGGCAAATATGCTCCGCAACAGAATCCACACAGTGGAGTCTGACACACGGACACAAGATACGTGTGCTTCCTTTTACTTTATGCATCTATGCATGAAGGAGATCTTACTTAACGAAATTCTACACAAGTAATGAACTATGCCTTCTCTTTGAAATATGTTTCACACTTGATGCTACTTAGTTCCTATTTTTTAACCATAAATAACCATGATGTGGAAGCGTAAAAACAAACTACTTCTTTTCAGGTGGCTCAAAGTAACACACGTTTTTCTAAACAACACAATATTTGTTAAGATAAATGGCCAATATTGAACATGAAAAATAATAGTGACATTGGGTGTCCCATGTTCATCAAGCATTTCCCACACAGGTTGTAGCGGAAATTTTGCAGTTAAGCGCTTGCTTTCTATTCCCCATCGTCGTAGCTTACGTTTTCTTTTAAACTGTGAACAATTTAACTGCATTGGAATCAGAAGTGTTGTACATCCTTGATTTATTAGGAAGATGACCACCATTTCCGACTCATTGCTGCCATCTTGTGTCATCTATTGATGCTGAAGACTGAGACCGAGAAGAAAACAGAGGAAGCACACAGGTCAGAAGTCTGTTCTTCACTCTCTTCACAATATATATGTTTTTGAATCCCTTTTAATAACTATACTACAAACAGTGAATCAAGGCCATCGCCAACCTGTGGGACACTTGTTCTGCTGTCACCCTCTGTGATTTGCTCGTAGGCACTGTGAGCCAGAGAGCTGCCCCTCCAAATTAAGACTGGTTGCACATGATCCAGACTGCGGTGTCGTGGGAAAAAGCGACATGTTTTTGGGAGGGGGGGGGGGGGGGGGGGTTGGAGCCTTGTCGGGTGTTTCATCTTCTAGATGCTCTCAGCTGTTGTAACACAGTGGCAGTATCTTCTTCTCATAGTGATTTAATGCACTGAGAGACTGAGATTTGAACAGTGTCATGCAAAGGAGATGGATGTTTCTCTTGAGCTGTCGAGTCACTGGATGAACCGTTCATGGCTGTTTGGTCCGTTGACCAACCTAACTATGGTTTTATTTCTTTACAGACATGATCCGTTTTAAGTGGAGCAGTGGGAGTGTGGATGCATATTTTTTTTAGAGAAAACAGCCTAACACATTAAGATCCCATCAACGTGTCTGAGGCTCGGATTATAAACACAAGAATGTTTGTTGAAAGATGTTCTCTTGGTTGTTTGGTGTTATATTAACCTTTTATTGTGCTGTCCAGCTACTACAGACACCAGCTTTTTGTCCCTTCAAATTTACCCTTTATAGCAGAGGTCTTCAACCTTTTTCAAGCCGAGGTCCCCCAAACTGATGGCGAGGTGGAGCAGGGACCCCCTATTCTACAGAGTTTGGTCCGCCATCTTTTATTTTTGAGCTTCACGCTCTTTAGACGTGAGCATAAAGGCGACCTGATTGGCTGGTGCCTGCGCTGTCGTATTCGCATGAAAGGAGCAGTGAGTGAACCGGTGCCCAGCTTGAGAGCTGCTGAGGGAAGCTGAATGTGTGTGTTGCGGACTGACAGATAACGTCTTCTCCATCAATTTATCCGTTCGCTTCAATATGTTGGATTCATGTTAATGTGTAGTTAAAAACCTCTGCTTTATAGATGTTCTCCATCATGTATAATATTTCTCACTACTCCTCTCTAGTTGGCTGTTGCAGATTTTTTTTTACACAAAATCAAAGTATATTAAAGCCAAAACTTGGTCAACCTTAAGGAGATTATTTTTATACATCTGCAGCCATGCCATCAACCTGCTGAATAACCTGCCTGTGTCCTGCCTGGATGTGTTAATCGACGTGCCCGTCCAGGGTGGACTAGAGATGTATGGTGGAAAGAATATGGATGCTGTCCAGATGTTAATAGACTTCATGGAGAAAAGGATGGACAAGGTAACGTTCATCCTCTGTAGCAAATATAAAGAGAGGGCTGCTTTGTGTAGACACTGAAAATTTAAAATACTTCTAGTATTGTGCAAGTGATACTACTGAATAAAATGGACTTGTTGCAACAGGGAAATGTTCAAGCTCATATGCAAACTAAGACACACATATATTAAAATATATTTACCCACATGGAGCGGACATGACGCAGTTTTGTGATGCAGGTCCATTTCATGGCACAATATGACACAACGCTTTGCTGCACGTCATTTAGTTTTTCAGCCACCCATCTTTTCTTTTAACTCATTATTCTTCATGTTACCCGCATGTGCTCCACTGACTAAAACCCAGCCGCAGCTCGTGCCGCTTGTGAAGTGTTGGTGGTTTGTGTCACTCCAAGCAGGGCTCCAACTACAAAGAAGGTCTGACTCCAGTGCTCAGCCTTTTGACTGAAGGATCCAGACAACACAGGGAGATCCGCAGATATATCAAAGCTCAGGTACAGTTCAAAAGACGACAATAAATTCTTTTTTTTTTGCTCGTTTTGAGGAAAGCACTGAAGGCTCCCAGGGATCCCTACCCGATTTCAAATACTTTTATAGCTCCTTGATAATGTGTGTTCTCATTACCCAGTTACTGTGTTTCAAAGGCCTGTGAAAGTGAGACATAATCTGAACTTTTGTTTATTATATCTGCACCTGCAGGTACTTCCCCCACTGAAAGATGTGAAGATCAGGCCGGAGATCGGCACCACCACCAGAAACAAGCTGGTTCGCCTCATGACGCATGTTGACATGGGTGTGAAGCAGACGGCTGCAGAGTTTCTCTTTGTCCTCTGCAAAGAAAGCGGTGAGCAGTGGTCGGATCATGGGGGGTGGCAGAAAATATGCAAATGAGAGATCAGGAATGACGTGTCCAGTTGGGTGATTGCCGCATGATTACATCGGCTCATGATCGCACATGAACATTCGTGTAACAAGCTTTGTCCTTTATCTTGTCTGGTAGTGGACAATCTGTTGAAGTACACCGGGTATGGAAACGCAGCAGGACTCCTGGTGGCTCGAGGACTTCTCGCAGGAGGGAGAGGAGAGACTCAGTACTCCGAAGATGAAGACTCTGACACAGAGGAATACAAATCTGCCAAACCATTGTAAGTTCTCTGCAATGCTCTTAGAAGGACCGCTGTTTTGCTCACGGCCGTGTGTTGAGAACCGCTTAGAGGCAATCGAAATTCTCGCCATCTGTGATCTCGCACCTTTTTTTACCTTTCCCGTCTGGTTGCTCGTCAGCATTAACCCAATCACCGGTCATGTGGAGGAGCCCATGCCAAACCCCATCGAAGAGATGACCGACGAGCAGAAGGAGTTTGAAGCCCAGAAACTTGTCAATATGTTTGACAAGTTGTCAAGGTAATTACACACAGAGCAAATAACAATACAATAAAACAATAACAATGTTGACCTGAAATGAGGAGAATCAAAGTTTCCTGCCAGGTCTTCGTGGATTCTTTGGCAGCATGGTCAGTGTCTTCAACCCTTTGGTCAAAAATAATGATAATAATAACAGCACAGTACCAGATTTCAATCAATCAAGACTTAATCAAGATGAACTTTTTCAGTTTGAGCAACTTTCCCTGCTCAAAGTATTCATATCATTAATTGAGCCCGGCTGTGTTCGTGTTGACCTTTCCTCACCGAGCAGAGGCTCAGGTTAGTCGAGCACAAAGCCTGCACAAAGGTAGCGGTGAGCATGCTCCCTGCCAACCGATTCATCAAAGGAGGAATCTTTTGCTGTAGCTGCAGCTTCAATTAGGCCCGGAGCTCCGGCGCGCTGCAGCATTCAGACGAAGAAAATGGAAGCTGCCGGCGCACCGCCGCAGCATCATTACCACAGCCCCCGTTAATTATCGCCTAATTGGGACAGAAAGTCGGCTTGGTTCCTTTTATGTGGCGCATTCAGGCTTTCGACGACGCATGTGCTGGCTTTATTGTTGTCGGTCTGAGGAGTCGTTGGCCGGGCAGGGAGTGGGGCCGAGGCGGATGCACAACCAACAACAAAGCAATCTTGGCGGAACGTGGACGGAGAGGCAGCGGCGAACAAATGTTCAGACATAAGTAAGCTGGCCCTCGTTATTGTTACGCCAAAGAGAGGGTTGAGCTGTAATGAGGCACGTGTGCCCAAGAAGAGGAGGATTCCTTCCCAAAGGCTGCGACTTCTTTATGCCTCCTCCTGACGATGACTACGGAGAGGTGCTTCCTCGGTGCAGGCTCTAAGGAGATCAGTCAGAGCCCTGTAAGAATGCACTCCCCTAACTACTTTACTGGTCCTCCAATTAGCACATATTCTGCTCCCCCACCCATCCACCCACCCATCCATCCCATCTGCCAGTCCTCCGTCACTCCTGAGTAGAAGAGGAGGGAATGTTTTGGCGCTAATTGGGAGAGATAATGTTTCATGTTTTTGTTTGTGTGCTTGTTAGTCCTCAGTGTACCTGCTGAGGTAAACCAGTGATATAAGGCACTGAACTGGTGGGGCGTCTCTGCAAGTTTTAGCAATTCAACTATTATTATTTTTTACCTAAAATGCTGGAAATATTTGCAGAATTGAGAATTTAACTTGCAGTCTCCCATGGATATGTTGAATGTTATCGGAGGAATCAGTAGGAATTACATGGCCATTTATATTTGAATCTCTTCACAAATGAATGCAAATGGAGAAAAAAAAATCTATTAGTGGTAGATAATTCTCAGATGAATAATCTTGGAGGAAGTGGTGACACACAGAACAGGTATAATTGGATTAGGATGAAGGCGCAATAGTGGCTTTGAGGAGATTAGAGTGAGTGCTGATCCTGTAATTAATCTGCCGGAGGGAGGAGGGGGGCAGCGAGGGAAGGAGGACGGCCAGAAGGACAGAAGGAGAAGGACATGAGTCCTTGAAGGGGCGATGGGGGGCTTCTTGAGTTCTTCATTTGACTTGATCTTGAGTAAAGATGTAAAAGTAAACGCTCCGATGATTCAAAGGATACTGAACAAAGTTATTTGTTTCCCTTCCCATCCAGCCTTTTCTATCTGGCAGCGGGACACCTGATGTTTCTCTTTTTGTGCCCACAGGCAGAACGTGATCCGGCCAATGGGGGTCCGGCCTGACGGAACGTTAGCACCTCTTGAAGAAACTCTTTGTGATCAACCGGAGGACTCCGGATCAGACTCTGACTAGTGCGCTTCACATGGAGGCCCAATATTCCAGGCTAAGCCCACTCGGCCCCCAACACATGTGGAACTGTGTCCTAATTTGAGATCTGGACCTTTTTGTTTTTTTTACGGGAAGGTGACCATGACGATGGGTCTGTCAGCGATGAAAACACCGGGCTGAACCGAGTCTGTTACCGAGCAACAGTAGTGGAAGTCAGTCAAAAGATCCACTCGCTGTACCAATACCTCCCAATAAATGACACTCTATTAACTTAAAGATGCAGATATCAGTACAATGTGTCGATACGTAGTCAACGCTACTCGAGGGGTGAGCGACGGGAAAAATGTGGCTATGGATACGAGAATCATTCGCGAACAACAATATGGCTCTATAAACTACCAACGAGTCTCCAAAATCCGCTGGACGAGGTGCGTAGAAAAAGCTGTCGACTGTCCCCTAACTTCCCTGTCTTTTCTATTCTCTCTGTGGATCAGGTTGATTAACATATACATGTACCTTCTATTTATCTGCAAGGTTAAGTCAGGTCTAGTTTAAGCAATGTGTATATATGGTGGCTGGTCATTACGCATTGGGTCTAGAAATGAGACTTGTGGTGATCCGGCTCTGAACGGGGCAGGATGAGTAACGGTGGACTTGATGCGTGGCAGAAAGGGGGCTCATGATGCACAAGAGGCCTCCGTGGTTACTGTTGCACTAAGAGTTAATAATATAATTATTTGCTGGAACACGTGCATCTTACTGAGAGCGCAGTTGTTATGGGTTTGGTAGTGTCACTAGGTTTAAAAGTCATTCCTTCACCTGTGCTTTGGTTTTTCACATTTTTCTTCTTCATGATGATTTTGTCCGCTCTGTATTTTACACACACAAACATGAAATCATTAAACTGTTTAAAAATAATGGGGCCCAAAGGATGGATTCACAGTACACAGTTCAGTGTTCTTTCCTTCCACATATTTTTATGCACATTTTGAATTGCTACATTAGAAACGCTGAAAGAGAGCAATAAAATCCAATAAAACTTTGTCTCAAGTTTATTTAAGTTACTTAATGTGATAAATGGATCGTGGCCGAACTTTTGCAGAGTCGATTATTTAATTTAACTATCATGAATGATTGTCGGTGTCTTCTAAGATATTCCTATGATTGCTTGTGTTTATCTTTGGACATGGCACGATGGCAGCGGACAATACAACAATTAAATCGTGCAACACAACAAACTGCTGTTCTCCACCGTCCCACCTCGACTTGTTTGGTCAAAACTCTTCTTCTGCTCCATCGACTGGCAGATTAGACGGTTGGCCTGCAAACCTCATCTATGGCCAAACAGCGCCGTAGCAGCGTTGACCTCCGAAGCGGTTCTTGGAAACGCTTGATTTGCTTTTCTCTTTTTGTGAGCCTTCAGGAGTTTGCTTAAAATAATTGTGAGAAAAATTAATGAAAACAAGGCTTGTGTAGTTACCAGTTTCTCAGAAACCTTCAGAACTCAGGGCTTGTTGGTTTACTGTTGTGAAACTGAGATTTTTTTCCATTTGAAGCTGACCGATCGTGAATAGAATGTTTCTGCCATCACTGCAGTGATTGATCTCTGTTCCATTTTACTTTCACCAAATCTGTATGCCGCTCGATCAGTTCTCAGTGACGGGTCTTTTTCTAATTCACTTCATTTGGGGGGCTAATTTGATATGAATCTGGGTATAAACTCAGACAAACTTGACTTTCTTTGTTGGTACAATTTCCTTTTATGTTAATGGTGCCAGTTCTAAAGAAAGCTGCATGTTTGTTACAAATTTTACACTATAATTTGTTGTATTATAAGAAAATTACTGAGCCCAGAGAAAATAAATATACATTTTACCTGAGAGACTTTGTAATTATTACAAGAATATGCGACACCCCTATTGGTCCCCACCATGTAGTTTCAGAGCCCGTACGCTGGTCTCGGACCTGCAGCCGGTCACGTCTCTCTCGCTCTTCCGATCCGGACTTTGAGCGACCTCACCTGCCACCTCTACAAGACATCTACGGAGGAAGAGTGGGCCTGAGAAGTGTCTATCCAACCAGCCTCAGCATTCCTTATAGTCATTACCCGAGTTCCTGGCATGGAGGGAGAACTTTCATAACAGAATTGGAAGCTCCACTTTGATTGAAGAAGAAATTTGAATGAGGCTTCCACTGAACCGCTAATAAATTGGAGAATAGTTGGTGTTTAATAGACTTTATAATACAAGGAAAAAGGTTTCATACACACAACTTTTATTTAATATTGTTTAAAAAACATATAAAACATTAACAAGTTTAATGAGATAAGGCTTAAACATCAGGATTTTTGTTACATCATATATATTTACGAGTGTTCTGTTCTCTACCTCTATAAAAAGTGCTTTAATTATGAAACGAAGATGAAGGAGAGTAAAAACTGTCTTAAACCGTTCCAGTGCCAACGTTCGTGCAGCGCGCACCGTTAATTGCTCTGGCAGGACGACGCAGAGCTTTTGCTGTCCGTCTCCGAGTCCGTCTCCTCCTCGCCGCCGCTGTTGATGATGGCCGCCTTTTGACCTCCTGGTCTGGATTTGGATGTTTCCATTGCACCTGGAGGCTCTGGAGCTCCTCTGCTCGGAGAAGCAGTCTGTCCACTCACCGACAAGCTGCCACCGAGCGGAGGGATGATCTGCAGAAAGGGAAATAATTGCAAAGTCAAAAAGGTTTTTAAAAAGGTTTGTCTTAACTGTCCATTGTGACTCTGATACTGACATTGGATGGCGACGCTACGTCACTGGACTACTCGCCCGTATCTGTATTCAACACAACCTTTTTTTCTTTTTAATCAAAATGTAACCCACCGGTGTTTCCTCAGTCCTCATCAGCTGCTCAATCTCCTCGTTCCAGCCAAGCATCGTAGTAAACCTGCGCACCGTGTCCTCCAGGTCGCCGAGCTCCATGTGGTCTCCTCTCCGCAGCGGGACCTTCTGGAAGGGACCCACGGCGTGTCGGTTCAGGAGGAGACGCGGCACAGTGGAGCGCACCGTGTTCACCAGGCTCGCAAATGGCTCAATCTGAAACGGTTATATTTTGTAAAGCTGTTTCTGAGCTCGGGGGGGGGGGGGCGGTTTATGTGCTCACTAGATAGATATTAGAACATGTTAACCTGTAAAGAGGTGCCCATAATCATTAGCAGGTCTGCTTTGGGGAAGTCTTTAGTGTGGAGGAAATACTTTTGAGGGAGGTCCTCTCCGAAAAACACAACGTCAGGTTTGACTGTTGCAGCACAGAATGTACATATGGGGACGTTGTCGTTCATTATGGCCCGCTGCAAAAAAAACAAAACGAAAGACACGAAAGCGTTAGTCTGCCGCGGAATGCAGCGAATTACTGTATTCGGCTTGAACTCAGACGTGCCTTGGCCTCGTCGGCAGGGAACGCCGTGTAGCACAGGTGGCAGGCGGCTGTGGCGAAACTACCGTGAGCTTCCACCAGTTTGTCCTCCGGGAGGCCGCAGACTGAACACAGTGGTTCGACAGGACAAGAGTTAGAGCAAACCAGCAGAAATAGAAGCGACTAGCATGAGCAGGGCAGCGAGCATTCAGTGGGCTCCTGCCGTCATTATTTCTGGTTGCTTACATGCAGTACTTTGTGTTGTTTTGGATGTGCTTTTACTTGGTACTTCCATTAGCCCCGCGGGTCCTGTTCCCACTCACGTTTCTCCAGCCCGTCGATGTTCTGGGTGTACATCCGCAGAAGCAGCCCTTTGTTGTGAAGCATGCGGACAAAGTAGTGTATGTAGTTCGGTCGGTGGCTGCCGGGATAGAGTGCCTTGGCCAGGGAGAAGAAAGGCTGCGGGTCGTTGGAGAAGTAATCAATGTTGAAAATGGCTTCTGGGTTAGGGATGTTGTACTTCTCCAAGTTGGCGTAAAGGCCCGTTCCCGGGGTTCTGAAAATGTGGAAATAGCGGCGTCATGGTAAAGCTCTTACTGCAGCCCGCGAAAAGTGTCTTTCTCATACCCGTTGGTTATGTATAGCATTAAAGAAATACTTAGTTTATAGGAGGCTGTAGAGAACAAGCCCCACAGACACCAACCTGAAGTCAGGGATGCCGCTAGCTGTGCTGATTCCCGCTCCGGCCACCACCACCACGTTCCTACAGCAGCCGAGCTTCACCAGCCGAGCGACCGAGGCCAGACCACCGAGGGACGAGGACTTGGCCGCCGGCGCGGACGGACTGCTGCATCCAGATCCCGACCCGGAGGAGTGATCGCCACTCCTGCACACGTCTCCGTCACTGGAGGGCGGTAAAACGAAAAAAAAGACACAAGACGTCTTGATCCCATGTGTGGTCAGTCCCCGACATAATCAGTTTATATCAAAATAGTTGATATATAAACCAGATAATCCCCCCACACAAGATTTGTTTTTCAAAAACTACACATTTACACAAACTACCACATTTGTGGGTATTTATAAGTATACACATGTACTAAATAATGTGTGTCTGTTATTTAGTTTTGTGGCTACTTTGTCTCATTTATGTTTTAATATGTGCTTTGCTGTATTCTTATCTAATCCTGATCATTTAGAGAAAATGAAGTAAGAGTTTCTGCAGTATGTTACGTTACCTTGTAGGTAAACAGTCCAGTCTGCTCACACTCATCTGACTGAGGTCCTGGGCCAAAGCAGAGTGTGTCTGCTTCCTTCGCTGCTTCGCATGGGGACCAGGCCCGTCGTCCTGGGCCTCTGCCGGGTCTGTGCGCCTGGCCTGGGAGCTGGACCCGCGGGTCATCCTGTTGACCGAAGACTGGGGGGCTTTTTTATCCCGGCTGGCCTTGGACCTGTTCATCCCGACACCTGCTGATAAAAACAGAAAACGTATAATATTTTAAAAGGTAAATTAAACATTCCTCTGTGAGCTCCTCTGTGTTATTAGCACAGAAATGATAAACACAAGATTTTAGCATTTTGAGATTTACGCCCCCCCCCCCCTCCCGCCCACACACACACACAATCACTCCACTAGATTAGATATTGTACTGTTTTCAATGGTTTGCTTTAAATCCCCCCATCAGCAGTGTCCCATATTTAAAGCTGTTTCACTGAAATCATCCTTTTCTCTTCACTCCCTTTGCAGAGAGGAGCTGACATGTTTTAAAACTGTCAACAGTTGAACAAAAGCTAATGGCGGCAATATATCTCGCAACCCCCCCCCTCCCCCTGCTTCTCAGAAGCTATGCTAATACAGCTCACAGCTGTGGCAGCTTTACTGCTCCGGGACAGTGGAGGGGAGAGCCGAGGGGTGGGGAGTTTAAAGAGCGGTGGAACAGGAGGTGAAAGGGAACCGTAGATTGACTGTGTGTCAACAAACCCAGCTGGGTGAGAAAAGAGGATGCCCCCTCAAACCCAGGGGAGAGGGGGGTGGGGGGGCAGAGATAAATGATACAGAGGCGGGATTCAATAAAGATGGAACAGAGGAGGAGGAGGAGGAGGAGGAGGAGGGGGGGCAGGGGGGGGCTTCAAACAACTTCCAGGAGGAATGAGTGCGAGTGATCCGGCCGAGGCGGTGAACAAAAGAGCCACGACCCGTAAAACACGGCCGCTTCAGGGGGGCAGCCGGGAGATCAGACGAGCTTTTCTCCAGAAGCGCCTCGTCGTGAGCGGAGACGGGTCACCGGAGGCTTAGGGGGCAGAGTAGAAATAGCAGGCGTTGGGACAGTGTGGTCTTAAAGATTCCCTTTAATTGCTCCAACATATGAAGAAAATGTGTCACCACGGAGTAAAGGTTGGCGTCCAACAACAGTCGAGCCGTCGAACAGTCATAAACATTCTCCGGGCTGCTTTTTATTTCTGCCACTCAATCTTCTTTCACTTTGCCTCTTTAAAAGCTGAAAACCCCCACGTGACTTCTGTTTTGCCCTCCCTGCACATCCTAAAGAACCATTAAACCAGCGGGGTGAGGGTCTCTGCTTTTGTCTGGACACCTCTTAAAAAAAGAAGAAAAAAAGAAAAGAGGCTGCCGAGTACTGGCGATAAATCACCGGCCCAGTTATTAAGGTCTCACACACATGCTGAAAAAGTCATGCACACAAATCACCAACATGACCTGGAACAACTCTTACAGGTGTATGCTGGATTCACCGAACCGAAAGGGGCAAATGGGAAATAACAGGACAAACCTAAATGCCATATTAAACTAAACCACATTAAAACGTTTTTACGAGTTCAAACTGGTTTTCAGTGTGTTAACCGTCCACTTCTTTTATCTGACAAAAGTCTACATGTGATACTATTATTGTTCTTTAATGACAAATACATCCTTGTAGGAATGACAAAAGGCTTAAATAGGATTTGAGCGCCCCCCCCCCATCCCTTCCCCTTTATTCAGCCTTTCACACTGCTTGGTCGCGCTGCTCTACCCAGTTGAAAAGATGAGCGTGTCCCAGTGCCGGACCACCAGGAGTGTAGCTGCTCATATGGGGGTTACAGTTATCTCATTAGGAAAGTTCTACAACACTGGGATGACCTCAGTGCTCTCCATTAGCACACCAGAAAGTCAGGCTGGTGGATGATCCCTTCACACCCCGAAAGGCTGCAGACAAACACCCGCAAAGCGCCGACGGGGAAAAGTTTGTGTAGAAACAACTGAAACCAAAACAGGAGCTTCTCGCTGACATTTAAGAGTCAGAACAACTTCATTTCCATTAAAACGCTCGAGGTAACATCTAGTTGTTTTGTCTGTTAATTACCACTTGGTCATTTCACATTTTTGCTTTGAAAGAATTAAAAATAAAACAGTATTTTTCATAAATTGTTTTACTTGTTTTCTGTGGATTAATTAAATCAACCTGTTTTTGTTAACACATGAAAACAACAACAACAACAACCATGATATCAACAATACATCCACAGGACTGCTTGTTGGTAAATAAAACCAAATTAAGAATTCTCAAATTTTAAAAAAGATTTTAAAATCGCTGCATACTTTGGTTTAAGTAAAATGACAGATTTCCTTTCAGTTAAATCCTCATTTAACACTCCACCTACAGTGGAATTGAGGACACAGCATACTTTCCCCCCCTCCTCCTCCAATGACACAGGCAAGAGGCAGCCTGATCGCCATGGGAATCTCTTCATAGTCTGAGAGGCAGCAGCTCGATGTCGCCCTTCCCCACCTGCTCGCTAATGACATATCACTCCGTGTAGCATCTTTGTTGGGCTCTAAATTGACACAAAGCAGGGAGTCCTAATTTGTGTTAGTATATTGTTTGCTCACAAAAAGCGGAAGGTGGGGGGGCGGAGAGCCAATTCTGCTCAGTGGGTTGATGGTTAACTAATGTCTCTTCCTGTCCCGTTAGGAGACCATCACAGCCCAATAACTGAAAATAAACAGTGAAAGCACACGGTCACCGCAAAGTTAATTTAAGTCCTTTAGGCCGTCTTTTTTTTATTAGGAATTCATCTGCTGATTAGTTTTTGGACTAATCAAGGTATTGCTTAGCCTTAAGAATGTCAAATGTTGCTTGTTTTGTAAAGCACAATGAGTCACTTTAAAAGGATAAAAGCCGCAAATAAAAATATTTCAAATTCTGTCTCGGTAGATACCTTTAACCAAAAACTGGATACTAAAAAAAGTTGGATTTTAGTTAATTTATTCATGGATAGAATGGGCCTTTAACTGTTGAGGGCCATTACCTCCCCTGTAAGCAAATCTTGTTTTTGACAACATTGTTTCTTAACTATATGTGAAGAAATCTAGTTTTCGAGAAACACTTTTGGGTGAGTGGTGCTAAAAGAAATGACATCAGTTGACTTGCAGACAGACTCGGGTCTTCTGGATGATTTACTAAAAGTGAGGTTACATTGGCACCTGCTGGAAGCTAAATCTCATTACACTTGTAAACCATCGACCCATTTTTTTCCCTTTCGTGGTAATTGTAACGGACCAACTTTTATTAACGCTTTGACCCATTGATTCAAGAAGCTTGACCTCTGGGCTTCTGGTGAGGTCGGAACAACCTGCAGTTGAACGAGCCCTACAACTGTGCAGATGACAGTGGACTTGGGGAGGAGCCAGGAACCTGGCGGGGCCTCCGACGTGGACGCCATCAGGAAGAAGGCCCAGCAGAGGTTGAACCTCCCTCGAGAGCTGCTGCTCCAGTTCTACTCGCCAGTGTCCAGTCTGCTCCACGCTCCTCCATCACGATGTGGTTTTGTTGGGCCACTAACAAAGACAGGAACAGACTACGACAACAATTGGCTCCAGCTATCCCGTCATCCTGGACCTGTACACCCCTAGAGCCAGAAAACATCACTGCAGACCCTTCACACCCTGGACGCCACATGTTCAGACTCCTCCCTTCCACACGTACTGCACCATCACCTCTATCTGCACCTTCACCTCAATTCCACTGTTGTTGTTGTTGTATAGGTCCAATTTATTTTGTCTCTCACATGCATGTCACACACACACAATTGTAAAATGTTTGTACGGACCCTTTTTGTTGTTGTCTGTGTTTGATATTTTCTTGTTTATTCGTACACCTGTACATGTCGGTTGAAACCCAAAGTCAAATCCAGCCAATAAAGCTGATTCTGAACCTCATGTGCATTTGGGACACGAGTTACTGCTTCCATTTATCAAGAACCCTGCAGGCAGTGATTTGGACATAAGAAATACCTTTTCCAGAATAATAACTGCTTCCTGGTGTTGTTCCTTTAACAAGTGAATTGCCCTGTTTAGATGTCTTGTTGAAATGAATATGTTGCACTGTTGATTTGTCCTCAATGTATATGCCACACTAGTTCTTATGTCACAGATCCCACTGGTGCACATAGCAAATGTGATATTTGGGTCAGGCACATGGAAACTAAACACTTGGAATATTACAGCGCAACGAGGCTCAAAACTCAAAGTGAAACATGTGATACTGTTAAAATATGGTCCGATCATAATAATAAAAATAATCACGTGTAGGTACGCGAGAAAGGGGTTAATGTCGTTGTGATTAGATACCTGTCTCTGCAGACGGCGGAAGTTTTGCATGCGGCGCAGACAACGACGACAGACGGGCGACCTCGAGATGCTTCGCGGCCGAAAGGAAACTCGCTGCACTTGCTCGATCGCTAAATTCTTAGTCCCGTAACCGTCCAGCCGCCGCGGCCAGGTCAACATCTGATTCGGAGGAGATAAAGGTGTCCCGTTCTGCTCCAAACGCATGCACCTCATCTACGTGCTACCTACGCTGGCGGGCGGAGAGGAGGGAGCTGCCACTCTGTTCGTTTTTCCGCGTTTCCAAGAAGTCGTTGCGAATAGAGGCGGGAAACGAGAGGAGAAGCACCGCGGTGCTGAGTTTCCCCCGTAATATTCAAATGTGTTCATAGTAGACATTTTGACTTGTCGTAATTTCCGTATGCTTATGCTTTTTCTTATGCAGAATTCAAAGGGTTAATATATTTAAATATAGTGTGTTTGTTTCAATAATACATTCCGTGATTCAGTCGTATACATTCCCTCATAAAATGACATCTGAGATCTACATATCAAGATGGTATTGGCTTCTGTTCTGTTTCCTTATCGTAGACGATCTTTGAATCACAGCCAGCGCGGAGGACCTACGTCATATCCGCTTTGAGGGGAGGATGTTGTTTTGGTGTTTTCGGTCAAGCGTCCTCTCCCGCCAAAGTAACGAACAGGGGCCTTGTTAAATGGCAAATGTTTATCTTATCTTTACTGCCATACTTTTTCACGGTTGTCCCAAATCATCACCAAAACATCTACACACAAAAAAAGACCACAGTTAAAGCCCCGCGTTAGTGCACGATCTTACTGAAGATGATGAGGCTATTATATTTTCAGACAATCCCAATTACACGGTGCTTAAATGCGCATGTGGTTCGGTAATGGCAGCCAGCGGCTGGAGCTCCGTCCCGCGGGTGGTGTGTAACGTTACGTTACCTCCGTGTGCTTGTATGGGTGGAGACTGAGGTCCTCCCTCAACATATAATCAGACAACACGAGTACGCCGCCTAACCCCCCACTCCCCCCCAGCAGCGAACGTTACATATTATCACAGCACTATTGTTGTTTAGGGCAGAAGCTCTCGCGCATAATTCAGTTACGTTACGTCGGATCATAAAGTGAGGTGAGTGTTACGTTAAATCTGCTAACGTGTGTGTATATTGAGCGATGAGAGCCTTGTGGAACAAATAAATACCGAGTATCTTGCGAATTACTTTTTAAAGAAGACCATCAACCAGCAGTGTAACCGGGAAAGAAATGGAAATATGTTCACGTCAATAAATGTCGATCCAGTGACGGTGGGGGAAGCGTTAAAGCGCCGTTTGTGACGTGTCTCGGCTAACGTTAGTTAAATTGTACCAACACGCTGATTTCGGTCACTAAAGGCTGAACAACCACAACGTGGGCTGTTAAATACAAGTCTAACCCTTTCTAGCGTGTGACATTGTTTCTTAATCAGACAACCTTTAAGCAAATATCGCTTTTAACCGCCTCTGGTGTTGACGTTAGCTGACGTCGACGTCATTCTGCCACGAAGCCGATGCCGTCGGTTCGCTAACGTGACGTTGCACTCGTTTTACACGCGAGCTAACGGTCGCGCATGCAAGCTGCCAGATATGCATGGTGACAAATAATGCTCGATATGGTGTAAATTGCAACAGTCCGATGACTATACTATAGTGACTAGTATCTATAGATACTAGCGAACCGACGGCATCGGCTTCGTGGCAGAATGACCAGAGGCGGTTAAAAGCGATATTTGCTTAAAGGTTATCTGATTAAGAAACAATGTCACACGCTAGAAAGGGTTAGACTTGTATTTAACAGCCCACGTTGTGGTTGTTCACCCTTTAGTGGCCGTAATCAGCGCCGGCCCCGAGTATAGTATAGACTCTATACTATACTCGGGGCCGGCGCTGACCATTTGGGTGCCCTAAGCACAAATGCTTGGTGGTGCCCCCCCCCAACCAAAGAACCAACCAACCACCACCACCATCAAAGGAATAACAACCATTTAGAATTGCTTAGTTCGGTTTTCTTTACTCCCCAAATAACTTCTAAACATAAATAATTTACATAAACAAACATGAAAAGAAATAAATTATATAAAAGATAAAATTATAAATACCAAATACCACCACATTTACTAAAAACACAGATTTGGAACTGAACATTGTAAACGCAGAAAGTATTCAAGTATATAACCGTGTAAGTAATACTGTGCACATTTCTTCAGTAAACAATATACATAAGTACAAATAATAATAATAAAGTGCAAATTTTAAAGTGCAAAAAACCCAAACAAATAATAACAATAATATAAAAAATAAGTACAAACTGCACAGTAGAATTTACTTTACCATATCTATAAAAGAGACCATTCTGCTATCCGATAGAACTATATTACAAACATTTTCACTACCATCAGTTGTCAAAGGCCCTACAGAGGCACACGCCTGCATTTCCTAGCTGAAAAATCAGCTACCAGGTCATCATATGACAGTTTCTGAGCCACGTCCCCATTGAGCCAGACCACTTAAACGTTCCTGCCCCATTGATGAGCGCAGGTACGTTTTGATTAGTTTGAGCTTTGAAAAGCTTCACTCAGCAGAGGCAACTGTGACAGGGAGAGTCAGTGCAATACGAAGAGCAATCCACAGATTGGGATATACCTCTTGAAGCCGATTGTTATGCAGAAATGTCAGCATTTCCAAGGCAGATGTCTGTGGTGAAAGCTGAGGAAGGTTGATGATTTCCTGCATCATCTCAGGTCCATCAATGTCAGCCAGTCCCTTATCCGTCAGTGTCTTGTGTACTTCCTTGCAGTGTTTCTTCGAGTCCTCCTTGGACATTCCGTTCACTTTGCTGAAGTCATGTAATGTAATGTAAGTCAAGCAGCACTCCATATTTTTTGACCTGATTCATGGTCTCAAGCCTCTCCTGTAGTGACATGATAGCAGAGTCCACAACACAATTGAAAAATGTGACTTCAAGCTTTTTAAGGGCATCATTGAGGGGCTCATCAGCAGCTTTGTATGCAAAGAGCCTTTTTGTGCTCCTGAGCCTTTTCTCCTTGAGCTCTGGTTCAATATTCAGGGCCTCACAGAGTTCCTTGGCAGTTGACACAGCCTCATCAAACCCAGGTTGTCTGTATTTGGAGTCTAATTGCTAACGGTAACAGAAACGATAACGGTAACATAAATGATAACAAAAACGTAAATGATAACATAAAAAAGAAATGATAACAAAAATGGTAACGGTAACAGAAACTCGCGGACGAGTACCGAATACGGCCCACCGGCGATCCGTGCGGACATTATGAGCGCGAGTATATGTGGCCAGCCGGCCGCCCGTTGACCGCTAGCAACGGTCCTCACAAGAAAAAAGTTTGGGGACTCCTGATTTAAAACATTGTCTTACCTGAGAGCAACGCGCGAGCATCATCCCGCTGTCTCTTCTTTTTTCTTTTTTCCGCCCCCGACTCTTGATGCCTTTCCGAAGCCATTTCAAAGCTGTCTGCCACATTTAAGATTAGAGGCATAATCGAACAAACCACTGGGAGGTGGGGGGCCGCACAGGAGGTTCCCCTTTTTCTCCACTAATTTGGTCTAGGCCTATTACTTTTGTATTGCTTTTGCATATTATCATGCTTTAGACATATTTTATTTGTTATTTATACTAGTAGCCTACTGTGATGATTTTTCTCGTCCCAGATTTTTTGATGCCCCCCCAGGCACTTGGTGCCCTACGCGCAGTGCGTGATGTGCTTGTGCGGAGCGCCGGCACTTATACTATACTATACTACGGACTATACTATACTATACTCTTGGTTGTCGGTTGTGTTACGTTTAGATATTGCTGTGTCGTGTGTGTTGAATCTGTTGCTCTTCTGTGTGGCAGACCGTGAACAGGTCTGACTTGTTTTTAGGATCAGCAGCACACCCAAAGCAAGCTCCTGTCGTTGTCCCTACACACCCTCATCCCGAGATATTTACTTTAAAGAAAAGCTTTTTCTTTTTGGAATGAAGGGTTTTAGTGGCACATAACTAGAGCGTGTGGTCGTGTCCTACAAGGAATTAGTAAACTCAGAAATATATACAACAACAAGCACATCTCTATCAGGGGAAAGATCATAACTGACACAAAGATGCCACAAGGAAAACTGTTGAATGTTACACAGAACTTTTTTCCCTATAGTTTTGCATACCTCTGTTGGTGACTGTGTGGTTTATTCTTGCAGAGAGATGAGCGAGATGCCCGAGGACATGCCTGCATACCTCAATGATGAGCCAGTATCTACAGGTATACGTTTAGTTGTTGCAGTCCAACTTTCTGTTTATTGCCCCAAATGTGTTCAACGGTTTACAAATCCTGTCAGTAGAAGAACGAGGGGAGGAGTCATGTGGAAGAACAGTTTTGTGGCATTATCTGTTTCTGCAGTAATCCTCTTCAGGTAAACCTAAATGTGCAGATTCAATAGGTTAGTATTTTTATGAGGTAGAGCTGGTTCTCTTTTTTTTAACAAAGACCATTTAACTGCAAATGTTATGCTCTTTGGCAATTTATCTATCAATATAGAAAAGAATCATCTCGTGCACAACCAATTATTAACCGTCATTGGACTCTAAAGGTAAAGGCATGTGAAGCTACAATATGTTTGGAGTCGGGCTGAATTGTATCAGTTATTTTGTCCAAAGAATATTAGTCAGCACCTATTTTCATACGACACCAGCAAGTGAAATGTGAATAATAGTTTTCACAGCCCTTGTTTGGAGCAGTTCTGTCCTGTCCCTGGATCTTAAAATGTTGCTTTTCTCAAACCAGACGACAACGAAAACAAGGATTATACTCTGGCGCAGCCGGGCATGTTCGGCAGGTTGGCGGGGGGCTTGTACGGTGCCACCAAGGGAGCTTTAGGGGCGACCGTGGGCGGCGTGACGTGGATAGGAGGAAAGAGTCTGGACCTCACCAAGACCACGGTGTGCTCGGTAGCCGCTCTGCCCGGGATCGGAGTGGGTCTGGTCAAAGGAGGAGTGTGTGCGGTAGCCGGGGGAGTGACTGCTGTGGGCTCTGCGGTGGTCAGCAAAGTTCCCATAGGAGGAGTCAAAAAAAAGGACAAGTCCGACTGACAAGGAGGAGGAGAGTGAACGCACACAGCCGCGGCGCCACGGCTCGCACTGTGAGCAGGAAAAGAGCAGCACAGGACTCAAACGTTTGCTCTACACATTTTTTGGTAACGGGAGTTTGGTAACTTGCAAAGACTCTCCTGCTTTTTATTAAAGAAAACACGCTATTATCACCAGTGCCTGAAATTGTCAAATAAAATGTCCATGTTTCAGTTTTGATAAAAAGTGACGACCCTGATTTATCCGTTGTACTTTACGCCAAAGTTAACTTTGGCACCAGAAGAGAGAGGCTCCTAAACAGTATAAAATTACTTTAATTTGACTTGAAAGACAATTCTTCATCATTGGTGATCCGACACACTGACCGAGGTGTTTCACTTTCAACTCCCATGGATTAGAAAATGTGTCCATGGGAACTTAAGTTTGTGTTCAGTTAATCGCTTCTGTTCAGCTCGCACAAATGGACAAAGCTGTGATCTTTGAGGTTGAGTCCAGTTCAATATCTAAACCACCTGCTGACCGTTTGATGTTTTTACTGGTGAACTTGGTGATGTGAAAAATAATTTGCCCCTGATTAGTTTGCTTATTTTGTAACGCATAAATTATTGATATAAAACTAATTTTAATTTTAGACAAAGATACCAGAGTCAATACAAATGTCATTTTTAGGTTGGTTTTGATGCCTAAAGTCATCATTTAAAACATGCAATTTGTATTTATTTGGGTTATCATTGTTTAATATTACAATTAGTTTGATCACCTGAAACATTTAACTATGACAAATATAGAAAAACAATAAGAACCAGGAAAAAAGGGTGAATGCTTTTTCACTGTATGTGACAGGTTCAGTTTTCTCGGAATATTGCCTTTTTGTAGTTATTGTGTCACCTGGGTGAAAGTGACTCATACTTTTGATACAGCATCTGATTTCTTACAATGAATATTGTGTCAGTTTCAGAATATTGAGTATTTTGATAGCAATTAAAATTCCAGTTCAATTCCAGTCCAGACTATGAATACTATTTTATACATGACATATATTTTGAATATTTTGATAGTTACTGTGCCATGTTCGTTGTATTGTATGTTCAAATCAAACAATGTTAACATCTATATTTTAGACACAGATGCATCATACAGTCATAAATATATATTACAGTGTATCAAAGCATTACTTCTCAACCTGAACGTTGCCCAAATGCTTTGTGTTTCTTAGCCAATCTGAAGGCTGGAGTTTTGACTTTACGTTATTAATCTCAAGTGTCAACTGCATTTTAAGATGACAAACTTAGGTTCCATATTATTTAAAGGAAAAGGTACCTACCTTAAACTGTAAAATGCCATTAGTCTTGAATGCACTTTACAGAATTATGCTTTTGTTTAATCAGTGTTGCAGGATGTTTGAAAGTTTGTTGAACAATCTGAATTTTTGGAAACATGGCAATATTGCAAAAATGTTTAAATAAAACATGGTGGACGTTGTATACGTGTTGTGTCAGATCAGTCACAAAGCATTATATTTATACTTTTTTCTTGTTTCTTTTTCTTTTACTGTAGAGAGCAACTGTTTTTGCTTTAATTCTTCCACTCTAGACAAAATTGAGATGGGGATTTCTTTAAAACCTTTGGATAATCTCAGTTCAGGAATATTTATTTTACCCACAAAAGATTCATTACATTTTGAGTCAAATTAAAACGTGTTATAATAATGTGCTACACTCAATGTACTTTGTATTTATTTTAAATAATGGAGTATAGCTAAATGCAATTAAAACGTCTTGTCCCTGTTCAAGTAAATCTGTCCACTACTGGTTGGTTTTCCCAACAATTTTGTGAGAAGTAAAGACATGTTTTGTCTTCTAACATTCTTTTCCATTCATTATAATGATTTAGCCCTTCAAATGAAAGCTTCTAACATCTTTGGAGCAAAATTGTTTTTAAGTTTTCTTCAACAGTGCTTTCAAACAGTGACCAGGATGAATACGTATATCAGCATCAGTAACATGACAGTGTGGTAGATTAGTCAACAGGGGGAGCACTGGGGTCTGAAATAAAGAAAATTAATAGTTATACATAACTTTAATTTATGTCGGTCTTGTGTCTGACTAGGTTTTTGGTATTTCAGGCGAACTTACAACAACGGAGCTATTTCATCTTGAGAGCTCACAAATCCACTTCTGTCTTAGCCATCCGAATCAGAACATGGGTCGGGCACCTCCAAACATCTGAAATAAGTGTCAAATGTTTGACTTTGGAATAGACATCTGAGAAGTCTAATTAGAAACTAACTAAAATTATATATTTTAATGGGCTATTGTTTAGGAATCAGGAAACATGTATTGGCATAATAGTTCCAGACATACAAGGAATTTGACTTGGTAGTTGGTGCGTAACAGCAGAAAGTACGACAATGGACGACAAGACAACAGTGCACGAGGAATAAAATAAAATGTAATGCTATGCATTGGTATTATAAGGCTATGGGTTAGTTTAAAAATAAAGGAATACAAGTTAAAGTTAAAAATATTTAGAAGTTAAAAATAAAGTGCACCAACAAGCAGAAGAGAAAGAAAGTGACCGGCTCTGTTGATGAGTCCGACAGCCGAGGGGAAGAAACTGTTTGTGTGGCGGGAGGTTTTCTTCCTGCCAGATGGAAGGGGCTCAAAAGGTTTGTGTCCCGGGTGAGAGTGGTCTGCTACAATCTTTCTTGCCCGCCTCAGAGTCCTGGAGGCAAACAAATCCTGGAGGGACGGCAGATTGCAGCCGATCACCCTCTCTGCAGAGTGGATGACACGCCGGTGATGGAGGAGCAGAGGATGGACTCCATGATGGCCGTGTAGAAGTGGACCATCATCGTCTTTGGCAGGTTGAATTTCTTCAGCTGCCTCAGGAAGAACAACCTCTGCTGAGCCTTCTTGATGATGGAGCTGATGTTCAGCTCCCACTTGAGGTCCTGGGTGATGATGGAGCCCAGGAAACGGAAGGAATCCACTATAGTGACGGGGGAGTCACACAGGGTGATGGGGGAGGGTGGGGCTCTGTTCCGCCGGAAATCCACAACCATCTCCACTGTCTTTAGAGCGTTGAGCTCCAGGTTGTTCTGGCGTCAGTGGATCTTACACACTCCCCAAGTGCATTTTAAACTCTCTCTGTCTCTTAGTGGGATGCTTGTCTTACTTTTTGAAGTTATTATCTGCACAGCGTTTTGGTTCTGAAAGGCGAATCGTTTTCTGCGTATTTTTCCCTCACGCGCCCTTTCCACTCAGCCTACGTCCTTTCTCTCTCTCTCTCTCTCTCTCTCTCTCTCTCTCTCCTCTGCTCGGCCCGCCGGCCCCATCGCTCTCTCGTTCCTCGTATCTCTGTGTCTATGCATGTCTCTGGGTCGTTGCCATCGCCCCGTGGTTCTGGCTTGTTAGTGCTGTCTCTGAGCAGATCAAGCTCAGCAAGGACACGCCAGAGGATGACGGAGGAGGAGGAGGATGCACAGTGTTTTCATATGGCTCACATAGATGTCTTCACCACGCTGTCAACAAGGCTCGGAGGCGTCCAAAGACGGAACTGGAGGAGCAGCGTCGCCGCCCTGGAGTCATGTCATGCCACGATTACTTATTTTGTTCTACGACGTGACTGGATTTTTGTGTGAAAATAATCCATACTCCCCAATTACTTATTTTGAATCTCCTTTACAAAGAAAAACATCTCTGACACTCACAGGTGGAAGGAGTATGAAAAAAAAGTTCTTCATGCGGTCGTAACTTGAGTTGAGAACAGGCAGTTCACACACAACAGATCAGTTATGTCATCAAGACTTAAGGCTGAGAAATATGCCAAAAGAAATATTCATCAAACTCTTCACATATCTGAAAAGAAATATTCAGTCACGATTCATCAGATCAGATCATCAAGACGAAGTGTCTGTTCTTGCAGCTCTGTGTAGTCACACCTCTCTTCAACACTGTTGTCTGAGCACATCCAACGTTCTTGACTCACAGTATTTGCAGGCATTGCACTCGGCTACTGCAGCAAACATGTCCATCTATGAGTAGTTCTAGATGACTTTAGACTTTGTGGAAGATAATGTGTTGTTTAGCCAGTATAAAAGGTTCTAGCTGGTAAATTTAGTAAATAAGTGAATCATCTGAAATACTCACATTGTATTGTTGTTGTCAACTGAACAATGCATCTTCTGTAATGTATTTTAAAAGAATTTTAGGGTAATTTTACATTATATCACAGTATTTTAGGTAATTAAATCTCTTATGGCCTTATAGTATAGTAAGCGGGGGTAATAGTCAATATTTGACACGAAAAGCTCATTCGGTAACATTACAGTTTGCATCACCAGACGCAATGCTGGCATAAATGTCCCAGGATGCAATACATTCATAACACAGTTGGGGAAAGCTCTGTAACATCAATAACAATACTGGTGGAATGATGCAAGAAAGTATTCACAACATATCAAAGCCAATATCTTTTAATACAAAATGTGTCTACAATATTTTTAGGGATCAATTTCATTCTCCCTGCAGCACACTTTTGTAATATTTTTGCATTCATTAAAATATACATTATGTCATATTCAAATATTCTACTTAATGATTTCAGCCAAATTCTTGAGTTTACAGTGCTGTTTACTGCGCATTCAGCTCCACCGGTCCAACGGACACCACGACCTTCGGATCAGCCCTCTCCTGGTCCGCAGCCTGGACGTCTCTCTTACCCTTTCTGTGGCATGCTGGTTCGCAAGAGGAGCCCGGTCTCGCAAGGCACACAGCTGTACTGCAGTGAATGTATACCTGAACAAGTAAAACCATGTAAGCAGAGCAATACAAAAATATCGTTGTGGGATAAAAATAGGCTTAAGCCACATTTAACGTTTTCTTGACGGGTTGAAAAGATGAGAAAATCAAGGTCTTACCGTAACAACGGTGCCACAGGCGTTAACAGGGAAATTATAGATGACAAAGGCTGAATTAGAGTCCACATATTTACAGTTTGGCCCATCTCCCAAAAGCGAGATTGATTCGAGGTCAATGCTTGGCAGAGTGGCATCTCTGGCCACAACGACAATGAACTGTCCGTCCTTGGTGCACTGAACGGTGACTGGTGGCACAGAAACAAGCATTGACAGGTTAAAGATGCAGAAAACCTTCTTTACATATTATTACGTTCTATTGAATGACATTCTTTTAAAAAAACTCACCTGCTTTTCCATAGAAGCACTGACTGCCGTCAAAGCAGCAGTTTATGGCTCCACATCCAGTAGCGGAGATGCCAGGAAGTCCACATGGGACTCTCACGTTTTTATCCACGTCACAACTCTGGACAGGCTTCACATTTGGATCGAGAATCTGTGTCTGTGTTGTCTGTGGTGTTTTAGTGCCCTGTTCCTGATCATATTTTGGGTAAAATGGACCTTGATGTTGATGATGTTGATGAGGAGGCCAGATTGGTGGATATGGATGTGGAGGAGGTGGAGGAGGTGGAGGAATCGTTGGATCTTCAGGAGGCGGGTTTGGTCGATGTGGTGGATGAGGAGGCCATGGGTATCCCTTTGGATGAGGATGTGGAGACCAATTTGGGATTTGAGCATTTACCACGGTCCATAGTACGCACCCTAGCACTGCTAGTGCCACAGAAGAGGTGGCCAGCTTTGCCATGGTTCAACAGCAGTTTGACCTGGATAATTCCCAAGTGTACTACTGATGTATATGCTGCTACATTTATATGTTAGTAGCCTGGAGGTTTTAAAAAAACTCCTCCCCTGAGGCAATTTACCACCAATTACAGCTTCCCATTTCTTTCTTTAGCCACTCAAAAGCCTCAGGGTTGTATTATGTCATGTTTTTGAAAGTGGGAGGATCGATGAGCCTTTTGGCAACTTTCCAAGATCAGACCCATGTGTTCACATCACTGTGTTGGATGACATTAAAGTATTTATTGACAGTTTAGACATTTGGGTCACAAAAACCTTTTTCAAAGGTCTCAGTGTCCAAATGTGTATTTTGCTAGTGCACATCTTTCCTCTACAACTGAGACTGTTCATAGGTTTACCTTTTGATTGTGAACACCTCATTTCAAACATAACCATGTTACAGTTTCCTGAACAGAGGAGCTTTAATCTACTGCAAGAAGAGCATTCACTGAAGGTTATTTCACATACATCTTTAAATCTAGGAAGGCTTTTACATTTTATGATAACTAATCAATAGAGTTTACATACGTATTGTGGCTTGGGAACAGATGAAAAGGGGGATGATTTTTTATTACTTAGTTATAATAATTAAATTGTACAATAGCATATGGAAATAATTATTACTTAATGTCTTGTAAGGACTTGCAGCTACGTTGATCGACCTACTGAATGAATATGTTAACCAACCTCACACTTCCAATTTACAATGCAATTTCACTGATATCAATACCATGGTACTTTATCGGTTAATATGTGCATACCTCATTGTGTCGTAGTCTACTGA